TCTGTCTCTCCTGGTGCAGTGCTGGAATTTATTGATAGACATGTGTGAAGTTTGGAGGTAAGCAAAGTCAGTCAGGCGTAGGCTGGTTAAATCTTGTTCCGTCTGGTCGGGGCATGGTAGCCCATTTACATATATTATCATTGCACCACACTAGGGGGCTGACCTCTATGTGGCAATCAACTAAAAAAACTTGTAATTTGTTGTGCTGGCTCACACTGCTCTTGTCCCATTGCCCGAATGCTTAGCCTTGGCATGTAAGCTTAACAGGAAAAGGAGAAATGAAAACTGGTAAATGGTTTCAGGGATATTACGCAATAATCACAATGTGACAGCAAAAGTCAAGCTGTCATCATATTTATGTCTCAAAGTAATATAAATCATTTCATGTGCTTAAACTTGGAGATAGTCAGTGCAGGAAATAATATTTATGAACCCAGAATGAATTCTGCCTTTTGATAATCCTGCCAGTCCAGTCCATGCTTCTGTCAGGACATTATATAAACAAATAACAGCGCCATCTGCTGCAACAAAGGGTGTTTAAAATCACTGCACCTGATATGTGATCATGGAGCGCCCTCTGCTGGGGAAACGACAGGCATGTATTTATTTAATGGAACATCATGTCTCTGAAAGCCACAAGATAATAAATTTAAATATACGAACTCAGATATAAAACAGCCAAAATGGAATCTAAACAAATTTAACTTGTAAAACACAATAGTTGAGTTTTTATGTAAATGAAACAAATTTCAAAGCTGTAAAAGCAAAGCAAAATCATCAATCTCAACACTGATGAGGAATATGCTCTGCATGTCCAAGAATGACGTCCTAAGTGTACAGTTCTTATCTGCGAGGTGATAGAGTTCGTAATGTAAACGTCTTTCTGTCCTTAACTCGTGTAAAATGTATTTGAGCTTCAGGTCTTTAATCAGCCACGACAACCTTAAGAGCAAATACTTGTGACTTTACATCCGCAGATCTACAATATCACAGAATTCACTTTGAACTACTTTTTGTACTGAGACACACAAAACTGACCTATTAATGACCTATTGAGTGTGTGTAGATTTGACCATGATTAATATGATATAGGAACAGTTTCTCACCTATTTTTTTTATTGTGAAATATCCCAAAAGTTTTGGGAAGATCTAGAGTCTCACCTTTTTGAGGCTGCTAACTCTTCCTACTCCTTAACCTTAAAGATATTACTTGTTAGGCTTACTATGATAATCCATATAATGGCGCTCTTGAATATCTGATTAAGCTAAATTCTTTATTCACAAACAAAAATTTGCTAAATAAACTCCTAAATTTTCACCTTTCCTCCTAGAGCTGAATCCTCTTCCCAAGTCACTCAGTTTATTAAACAACAAAAACAGAAATGAGCTTTTGGAAAATTATGGACAATTTTCACCTCTGACTAAATATGTTACCGTAATATTTGTGTGTTAATATTTGTATATGTGCTCCTGTTTTACCTGAAGTATTGTATATTTCCTTTGATTGGACCACAACTGGCTCCATCTCACCTGTTTGTTACTATAGTGAGCTTCCCCTTAGGAGAACAAACCGCTACTCCAAGTCCTTCTGCTAACAGGCTACTAAACTCCAACAGTTTTCACTTTAAATGATATATTGAAATTTAAATTTTTTAAAGTCAGTCATTTATTTATTTACTTTAGAAACTGCAACATAATGTGTTATTTGTAATCTATTTTACTTGTTTTGTTCTTGTTTTATTTATTTTACTTATTGCGGCTTGTTGTTCTTTGTACTGTGACTTTTTAGGTTGTGTGTATGGACTGGGTAAGCTGCAAAACAATTGCCCTTCTTGGGCTAAATATTTGTTATCTGAATCTGAATCTGTTGAGTAAAGCTCAGGTTGATATTGAAATGACATGCAGTACAGGTCCAATCAATATTCTTCATACAGTAATCATTTAAATTCAAACATTAAATAGGTTCAGCAGAGCCATTATTTAGTTGTTTAAAGTCAATGTGAATCAGTAGTTTTACATGCTCAAAGGGTGCAAATTGGGTTTACTGTAGTTGGTTGAACCTCATTGAGCCCCCCAGGGCAAAAAATTGTGCACACACACACACACACACACACACACACACACACACACACACACACACACATACATCCTTGTCGTACTATGTTGTTACCCTATTCTTAACCATCACAACTGAATGCCTAACCTTAACCTGAAACAGCCACAGCATTTAGATCCCAAAGATCCCACAAATTTAGTGGGCTCCCAGTTTATGGACATCACAAATATAGTAAAAAAGTAAAACACACACACACACACACACACACACACCTGCTCTCTGCGCATTGTGAATATTCCCTGTCACCTCAAAGAGAACCAATTTAGTATTAGACAAGACACATTTGTCAACAAATACACAGTGTGTGTGTGCACGTGTGCACGTGTGTGTGTATGTGAGTGTGCGTGTGCGTGTGTTTGTAATTGAAAAATAATTTAATCAAAATTTTACCAAAAAAATTGCAAAACTAATAACATACACACCAGCCTCAGCTGTTAGCATGCTAACACACTAAACTAAACTATAACATAAACACCTGCTTAACATAAGCCTGTTTGCATTGTTTCAGTTTTAGTATGCTGATGGTAGCATGTAGTTCAAAGCAGTGCTGTGCCTAGTCAGCCTCTTATACTGTAGCTGCTAGCATTGTGGACTCTCAGTCTTGCTGAATGATAAAATCTCTCAGCATGTGTGTGCCTCTATTTTAAATTCAAAGAAACTTAAGAAATAGGTTTTCTTTCTTAAGTTTTCTGTATAAATTACTAGTTCACTTTTCCCAGTTGTGGAGTATAGTAACACTCTCTCTTCTGCAGGTTAGACCACCATACGCCATGGACACACAGTTATAGGTATAACTAGATCTCATTTCTCTATTTGAAGTCCACAGAAAGAGCCAAGGAAAAGGTGATTTCCATGTGTTTGTATAGTTAAATGTCTTGGCACTGTTTGATATTTTGCACCTAGCTTGTATTGAGTTTGCAAATACAGACAAGAGCTTGTGTTTGTGGATGTGTGAGTTTCTATGTTTAGTTCCACTTGAACAACTTTCACTTGATTTTTGGTAAACCAGTACTACTTCCCATTGCTCAAGTCAGCTATATGCTGTACTTCTGCACTTCAACCACTAGATGGACCTTTAGTTGTGCTGTTAGCTTCAGATAACTATGGCACTTCTTATGTATGGTTTTGGGTTAGGGAGTTTTTATCTTTGACTTTATTCTGGGGTGTCATCATTTTATCATTTTACCGTCCAGGTGAGTGATGAAAACAACTGCAGAATATAAAAAGTGTTATTTACAAGTAAATAAAAGAATTATAGAACATGTTGATTAGTCGCACTTTACTCATTCGTATATTACATTTCTGAAATAACACTTTCAAGAGGTGACTTCTTTTCCATTCTGCTTCCATTTTAATTTCATGTCATAGTTATATCAAGCATAATCAGAAGAGGAAATCAGTTTTGCTGGACTCACTCAGCTAAGACCTTACATGCTTTTATTATTCTTATAGTTGTTCAAAAGGCCTTTGCTTTTGTTGTTCTGCAGATGTGCACAGGCATTTTTCCTCAGACAAAACGTATGTTGTCTACTTCAAACTGAAACTTTACTGGCTAATAACAGGAATGATTCAGCAGGTTTTTTTTTAATGTTTTGTTTTAGTTCTACACACATTTCAAAGCAGATCTGGAGGCAGAGATGAACTCACCGGTTGCATTAACCCTAAACTGGGCAGAGCTGAAGATGTGCAATTTTTCTGGCCCACAATCTCAGGGCACATTCACTTATTTGAACTCTGGAGTGATAAGTTCTTACGTTGTGTTAATTTGGTCAAGTGAGAGCATTTGAAATAAAGTAGCAGCACATAACAAACTGTGACTCTGAGCTCATTACAGAGGTAAGAACAAGCTGAACAAGCTGCAGGGAACAAATCCAATATACACTTCTGAGCTTCTTTGTTTCTATACTGTGTCAATATTTGTGTTTTTATAATCCAGACTGTCTGTCTCATGTTTATCCCATGTTTACCTATCATGTTTAACTTTCTCCTCTCATCTCTCTCTCTCTCTCTCTCTCTCTCTGTCTCCTGTCTTGTCATCTGTCATTGACACTCATTTATCTTCATAATACTGACTGGATACCTGTGGGTTCCTATCCTATATGGCTTGACAGATATGGCTACATGAGGCCTTATATCATGTTTTTGGGATTTCAATTTTGGATTATTTGGATTAATTCTGGATTATTTGATAGGTATTATTATTTATTCAGTTACAGGCACACAATAAAGTCCAGAAGGCTGGGAGACATGTGAGAGACAGATTAAAAAAAAAAAAGTTTTATTATGTTATTTCAATTTATAATATGACTATAGTAATAACAAACATATTTGCAGTTACTTGAATTAAGACACATGGTCAACAATGAGCCACTGGACCCCCTGAGGGTCTGGATCAAAAGCTCCTCATCTGAATCACTTCAAGTTATGATCTTCCTATAAACAAGGAGACAGTTTTATAAACAAGAGTTAGTATTGATCAGTTTGACATATAGCATGCAATCAATCAAACTACCTTAAAACTATCACATCACAGCTTCTCCCCATGCCTACTTCCACATCTGCCTGTCTACCATCTGCTCTGCAGCTACTTCAATAATAGCTTGCAGCTGCAAAGACAGGAGGAGAAAGGGGGGGGAGTGGAGGAAAAACCCAGAGTGGTGAGGGGCAAAGGGAGGGAAGTCATTCAGTCAGTCAGTCAAGCAGGCGGGAGGGGGTGGGGTGTGTGTGTGTGGTGTGTTGTTGGGGGGGGGGGGTGAAAGCAGAGCTGTGATGCAGACAGCGAATCACATGAGCAGGGATCTGTTTACAAACTGAGAGCTGAAGACGAGAAGTGGAGAAGAGGGACGAGGAAGGAGAAAGGAGGAGAGTGAATGTGAGAAGAAAATAGAGGAGAAGAGAGGAGAGCCTGAGTCTGAGTTAACATTGGCCGCATTGTTTTCCTGTATTTTATACCTCCCTGTGTCCTGTGTTCAGAGCAGGAAGGCAGGGGGAGAGATGAGGAGCTGCTTTCCACAGGAGCACTGTTGAGGCTGCCTCCCTGCCTGCCTGCCTGCCTGCCTGCCTGGCTGCCTGGTTGGCTGGCTGTGCTGCCGGGGAACCCATCCATGTCCTTCCCTTTGTCTCTCCATAATTGGCCACGGCAGGTTTTCACAGCCAGAGAGGAGGAAAGCGACGTGGAGATCTGAAAAAGAGGAGAAGAGAAGAAAGGAAGACAGGAGAGAAAAGAAGAAGGAAGGGAGGGAGAGCCTTGTGACAATGTTTTGAAGAGGAGACAAAGCAAGAAAGCAGAGAGTGTGCTCGGCCACAGGTTCATAACAGAGTGCTGGAAGGGATTTGATGTATATTTCCTCATATTGTCACTGACATTGGTGTCTTTTCATCCACAACGCTCACAGTTTACCTCCAAGACTTTTTCTTTGTCATGCAGAGGGAAGACACAGAGGAATATTTTGATTTATTTCTCTAACACATTTACAGGAGTCTTAATGTCAATTAAAGTGGATGTTTGTATGGTATTTTTTGATAGCAAATCATCGCTGCTGGCTGAATAATCACTGTTCAGTTGAGCAGCTGCTTGTTAGGCTGATGTCTTCTTGAGGAACTGGAAGTCTCTCATCAGGTCTGCTTACTCAAGACCACAAGGATTGAACTCAGTGCCCATCCTCTCTGCCAACTATCAGGACTGGTCTGAACTGAAAAGCCACAACTGATCCTTTTCATTTCCAGAAACAAACTTCAGAAAAGTTGCGGAAACCAGAGTTTGTGACCTCTACAACTTTCTGGCTTTGCCATCTGAGCATCTGCACATTTGATGCATTCTGTCCAATGGTGTTACGGTAAGTGACATTTGCACAGGCTTTTTGTAAGTTCAAACTCCTCCAAATTAAAACTAAATAAGTGTTTACTAAATGAAATTTTACACAACACACAACAGAAAAAACAACAGAAACCAGTTCTAATGTAGAGATAAGCTTTTACTTAATATTTACAGCCACTAACTTACTAAGCAGAACTAATGCTAAGCTAACTGACAAAACTCACTTTAGCTTGCTAATATTCTACCTTTTGAAGTTTTAGAGTAAAGGAAGTAACTGGATCAAAATGCAGTTTAATATACATGTACATGAGCTACATAATGTTACACTATCATTAGCTATATGACTAAATAGCATCGGTTAGCCTAGCATATTCAGATATTTCCAACTCTTTGCAGGAATACTACTGATTGTGAAAGAAGTATTTCTTAATATTTAAAAAACTAGGTCTGAAACCAGTAGTCTTTGCAAGCTAACAAATTTCTTAATTTCTAAATGTGGTAAAGCACCAGTTTAAAAATAGCTAAATACTAAGAACTTATTATTCTTGAGAAGAAAACTTAAGGTGTTTTGTACAACTTACAAAGGGATTTACAGTATGAATGCCTGGCTCAATCAATCCTAATATGAAAGTTTATACAACATGACCTATAAAAACCATGATAATATATCATCTCATGTCTTTATTGTTTTCAATACCAATATCCTCTGAAGGGAGGACCATTTTTTTCCCAGACAAAACACATAAAACCAAAGCTACTTTTCCTGTTTAACAGTGTTCAGGTACAATCCTGTACACGCTGCATGCATTTGCACAGTGGCCTACCTTTTAGTGCTCCACTATCAATGATTCACTAACATCGTGCTAAGATTACAGCTGCTTGTTTCTTTAGCCAAATGTCCCGTCAAACCTCCCCAAACACCCCCACTGTGCACTGAGACTACACCCTATACTGCTGTGAACCTTGTCCATTAGAGGATGATTTTTGAACCCGGAGGTCACAGTATAAGCTGTGGCACTTGACCTCAAGAATGAGTGAACTCCTGCAGTTTAAGGCTGACATGCGTCGCATGGAATGAAAAGTGCCATGTTAAGAGCCCCTTGGGCTGAATGCACTTCTTTCTCTCTATGGCCAAATTCCAGTGAGTAACTAGTCTTAGGCCAAGAAGCAAGTGGAACACATTCCTGTGTGACGCAAGGATGCTTGTAAAAGTTCACATGAAAGTGCTTTGCAGTGTGGATAGGTGCTTTTGCTGTGTGATCTATGAATTTTGTAAATATGTGTAAGGACTCTCCTGTGGGAAAGCCAGTGAGCATCATGAGGATAGTGAACACCAGTAGAAACAAAAATCTGCCCTTAATAGACCCTGTTTTTTGTAGCTTAACTCAGTTTTAACCTGATTAATATGGATTTATGCCATTAATATTTTGCAACCCTTAAAACATTGCACTTTAATAAGAAAATAAATAGCCAAATGCTATTTCCAGAACACAGTTTTCTCCCTATTTCTCACTCACTTCTCATGTAAAACAAAATTAGAAGTTGGGTTCATAACTGTTACTACACACCACCTCTATACATGCACTCATATCTCAACTTTCACCCAAGTTCAAAAACTTTGTGCGGGTCAAGAATCTCTACAGTGTAAGCAGTATTACATTGCAGTTTGAAACAAGAGGCTTAACAGATACAAGTGCGGAGCCTATGTGCCAGGCCTTACAAGTTACACATATACGTCCACACACACACATGCGCCGACCCCACATCCTCACCACGGGAGGTGGACGCAGGCAAAGTCTAGGATTGCTAGACAGGGTGATGTATGATGGGATATGTTTGTCATGAAGACCTGTGTGGGCCATGGAAACACAGTAGCAAGGCTCTGACGGAGCTGAGTGAGCTGGTCTCTCACCACGGTGACACAAAGATCACAGGAAATATCCACAATATACCTACAATGAGAAGCCATTATGGATGACATGTTGTCCACTCCGCTTCATGTCTGTTTAGTGAAACATCCTGCAGACACAAGCTATATTACAATGGGCTTAAAGATGCTCAGACGTCCTGCAGAGCTGAGGTGGGCTGCCTGATAATTCTTTGCATGTTATGTTGTGTTCTATCACATTACGCGTTTGATCCATTGTGAATATTCTGATCAGTGCAGCTTTAACCCCTTCTGTAACCTAAACCCAGACCTAGCCCTAACCTTATAAGTGAAGATGTGAGCCTAAAATAAAAATGTCACAGTTGTGGGCAACTACTTTAACTTTCTGGTGTGTGAGTTTGTCTTCACAATGTGAGTGCCCCCATCTGTGAGGAAACCAAGAAGAAAAAGTTCAATGATCAGATCATTCAGAAAGAATAGCTCACCCACATCACTGTGAATTTTTCAGACTATTTATGCTGACATGCGACGAGACAGTGTGTGAAGACGCATTAATTCATACGTGATTTCTGCTGAGTGTCTAAATGCCACATAATGTTGAATTATCTGACAGGGGCTTTGTTCACTGTTTCTTTTCATGTATAAAAAATGACATTATCTCACATTTTCAACATGCAATTGAAAACACGAGTGTGTATTTACATTATTAGCAACAGTAGGCTATATTCATGACTGCCTTGTTCTTTGTGTGAGGACAAAGTTAAGTTGGATTAGACACACTGACCAATACCAACCCTTCATGAAAATTACATTTTGACATGATGGTGATGCAGTTTAAATACAAGTTGTATTCATTGTTGAATTTGTTAATACTTCGTGATTTCTGTTTGAAGTTTAAATTTCTTCTGATGTAAATACATATGCAACGGATAGTTCAGAATGACTGTTTCACATTATATTTTCTTATTATGACAGTCATCTGTGATACAGTGATGGGACTGGTGTAACCCTTGCAGCCAAACCATGCTGTTTTTCCTGCATTCATAGGATTTCTTTTTTCCATTCTGTGTCATCTTGTTCATGTGTCCTGTCCTCTCAGGGTGTCTGTGTGACCTTGGACTGCAGAACGCCAACCCTTACTGCAAGATGACATCTGAAGAGCTCTTCCACCTGCCGCTCAACATCTACATCATCATCCTGGGCATTGGCCTCTTCATCCTCATGCTCAGCCTCATCTTCTGCTGCTACCTGTTCAGGTACAACACAACAGACAGGGCTGAGGTAGAGCTCCTGTACAGGAAGTGTCAGGCCGCTGTGCTGGATCAGTATTAGCAGACAAATTCATCCACCTCTGAAAGGAGGAAGTCTGCCTCACCCTGCCTTCATGTGAAATTCCAATTTGTGTGTCACCTACCACCTACCCGTAGTGCTTTTCAGGATTTCCTAATGAAATCTTGTAAATCTTTCTTTTTCATTCTGTCTCTGCTTTTGCATTAGTTACTGATGTTCTGTATTTTTATCTCAACAACACTGAGAGAGCAAATCTGAACTTCTTGCATACAGTATAACTATTGTTTTTAACTGTAGAGCAGGAGAGAAAGAGAGCTGTGAACTATTACCCATTAAACCTACAAAAATTTAATTCCATGCAAAATACTTGTGCTAGTATCAAAAGGCTGTGTGACTTTAAACTGACTTCAGCGTATGACATATGACTTTACCTGTACCTGAGTTTTATTTTTATTTTGGTATATAACAAGAGCATCAACGTTGTAAATCAGAAAATTGAATTTCCACACTAACAGCTTCCCAATTTCCCATTCAACCCAACACAAACACACAAAATACAAAATGGTTTTCTTAAGTATGAAGAGTTCTGATTTCAAAAGAAGAATTAAAAAGCACTATTATAAAAAAAAATACTTGTAAGATACAATATTATTAATCCCTAACTTGAAAACATATTGGTGTGGTCATTGGATTACAAACTGTAAAAAAAAAACTGAGAACAGAGATGAGACTACAGGGAACAGGTCCACATTCTATTTACATTCTATAATTATCAATAATATTTATGCCCCAGCTTTTACTAAATATTCTCCCTTCATTTTTAACTTCACCTGTGTTTTAGTAGCCATGGGTACAGGCCTACAACCGAAGGCAGGTTTACACCCTCCAGTCACTGGTGGAATATATTTTCTACCCTCACAGGACAAAACCTGAGTCAGCGGTCTCCATTTTCAGCAGTGAGAGAACAATTCATCCACAGCCAGACTGGCCAGTTGGCATCATTTGGTATCGTTTGGTTTTCACATGGGGTAGTTGTATCCTGGGCCAGTTTCACATGTACAAACCTTATTAGCCAACTGTGCGCATTAGCAGATGGCCTCTTGTGTGCTCTGAAGAATCCTCTTAAAAGTCTAAACAGACTGGGTTTTATTGGAATGAAGTGCACTCAGTTGATTCAGGTCATCTGTCAATGCAGAATCCTCTCATTGTATTACATGGAAATGCATACAGTAGTGCATTGTCTGCTGTTTGACAAATCACAAAGGTTCAAGTGAGCGCTGCTTAAGGCTATTACAGACAGGCTGGGATTGGGTCAGTGTGCTGTTGCTGACTTCCAGAAGTTTTGGAAAGACCTGTTTAACCCTTAGAGAGGATGTTTGATAATTGAGCGATCTACATTTGGGCCGAGAGAGTACAATATGTGAGGCTGGGTTTACAGCCAGGTATCGGGTTAAAGAGCATCAGCTAAGACTGTAGTTAGTGATCTGAGTCCGGAGTTTGATTTGATTTAATTTAGGTGGTTTTCTGATTTTGTGTGTGTGTGTGTGTGTGTGTGTGTGTGTTTTTAAAGGTATATCTCTGATACTAAAGGACAAAAAGTAAGGCTATGTTTGCTGAATGAAAGTGTAGATGGACTGATGAGAATGTCTTATCAACAGCATATGATCAACAAGAATCTTAAGGAGATATTCCTGAAAGTGTTATAGATCTGCTCTGTGTAGATGCACAGGCTGTTACTTGACTTTGGTATTGTGTGAATTCCAGGCCCTCAGCTGATTCAGACAGCATGATGAGACATGTCCTGATGAAGACAGATACGGAGCCACCAGGCACATTATAGAATTTTTTATGACAAGTTTGTTTTTTGTTTTTTTTGTGCTTTACAGACTGAGGCGACAAGGGGCAAGAGAACAGTATGGGTACAACGAGGTAATATGTTAAAACCATTTCCAGTTTGACTAGTAATAATAGTTCAGACTGTGTCATTTGCTTATTTGTCTGTTAAATTTGAATATGCATTTTGTGATAAATCCTTTACTGTCAACAGGTTGTTTTGAAAGGAGCGGGGAAGAAACTGAGCCTTCTTGGTGTAAGTTGAATGCAGAGTGAATGGGATGGGCTAAACACTAATATAAAACAGTTGAAAGAAGTATAACTGACCCATGCTAACTGGCTAATGGGACAAAAAAAGGATGTGGAAAACACATCAGCAACAAATTTACTGCTGAAACAGTGAATGTGCAATTTTCTTAAAAGACAGAGAAGTGCGTATATGTATATATTTCTATTGTACTGTGAAAGTGTTGCATGTGTCATCATCACTGCTGTACTAGTCAAAATTTCACTGAAGTTCAGAGGAAAACTACACAACCAAATATTCTAGCTCCACCTAAGCCTTTCCCAAACCTGGACAGGAAATGATGTGGATGATATTCCTTTTAACTCACTGTATTTTATTTAGTTTATTTTTAAAGGTGGGTTTAACCAGGAAAAGGTCCTCACTTTTAGAAAACCACAGTTTTGAGTTATAAAGAGCCAGGCAAATATTTTTCAGTGAAAAATGTCAGTTTGAAGTCATGTTTCTTTATTTAAGTTCCAGGTGTTTGTTTCTGAAATAACTTTTACCTGTTCGCTACTGCTTTGTGATTGGCTAGCTACAGCAACTAGCTACACCTGATATGATATGGCCTCATAGTAATTGTGACCAGGTTTTTGCAAAAGTAAGAAAATACAACAACTTAAACAAAACAAAACAAAACAAAACAAAACAAAACAAAACAACAGGGGAACTACTCAAGCTAACAACAAAGTGTAAACTCTGGGAGCTTTGAGAAGCTCTCTATAACAACAACTATTACATTTTTGAACAATCATTTTACTTTCTTTTTGTTATACTGTCACATTTGAATAGTCATCATAAATTTATTTCTTGAAAACCTGATGCAAAAACAGAATATTTTTTAAAATTGGTAATATATAGGTTATTTTAGCTTATTATTATGAATAAGAGATTACGTCAGTGATCTAATTATTGCAGTGCAGCCATGGACACTTATGTTGGTGATTATTTTAACATAGAAATATACAGTAGTAGTCCATGAGTGAGAACTGTTTTCAACTGATTTCATAACGCGTCGTTTCCCTGTTTCAGCAAACATGTGCAGTGTGTTTAGAGGAGTTTCGCACCAGGGACGAGCTCGGAGTGTGTCCATGTTCCCATGCTTTTCACAAGAAGTAAGTTCTACAGCCTTCGCCTGGTCACAAAAACTTTCATGAGGCTGAGCAGCTGACCCCGTATTTGTGAACATGCACGACTGTATTTAAAAGTCACAGTCAAATGAAAAACCTCCAGACTTGATTCATTTGTTTAGCTGTTTCACAATCTGGTAACCGCGCAGCTAATTGTACTGACTCATACACTGTGTTTGAGACTGTGGATGCAAACAATCTTCAACTGAAATCATGTGGAACAACACTTTTGGAACAGCCAATATGTCTGCAAATCCATTGTCAGTGGCTCCACCTTCCTAAATCCACAATATCTTATTCTGGCCTTGATTTCTTAACATTTTGGTGAAGACTTCAAATCTCAACTAACCACTTCAGAGGAATGACTCATAAATTCCACTTAATGGTGGATTTCTGCCTTCAAGTCAGCAGCAGAAGGAGTCAGAGAGGCTGTGAAATCCAGAAAAAAAAGCACGTTTTTTCCAGCTGCCCTCCAGAAAATGACGAGCAAATTCCTGACAACATATGTCCCGGCATGTTTGAACATGAGCATGCTTTATGCAACTGAGACCTGTTTCGGCTCTGCAGCGTAGGTGTGACATTGACAGCAGGGCTTTCAGGCTGGTTTACTTTTTCTTTCTGACTGATATTTCTCCTAACGCCTGTCTCATCAGTCCTGTTTTACAAGCTGTCTGAACTTTGTCTTGCTTTGTTAATGACAAAACGTAGTAATATGTCTCTCATCTGTCCACTCTTCCCAGGTGTTTGCTAAAATGGTTAGAAATCCGCAGAGTGTGCCCCATGTGCAACAAGCCCATCTGTCGCCTCCAGCCTGACCCCCCACAAGCGTCCGAGCGGCCTCAGAGTCTCCTGGAGGTCTGAGAGGGGGAACGTACGTCCAGCAGCACCTCACGCTCTCCACTCAGTTGACACCCGTCACTATAGAGGCTCCTGTTACACGGTCCAACAGTCTGTAGTGTTAGTAACATGTTTTGAGGCAGAGCTACTCTGGAAATAGAAATGTTATAAACCGTAAGTACTGAGCCAATGAACCTACCTGGAAAACAATATGGAGGTGGTAACAGTAGTGACTTTCACTAACACTTGACATGGAGTTCATGATGATGGATTAAGGCTATTTTCAGTACATAGCTAGGTTATGCTAATGCCCAAGTGCCTTAAAGCTGCAGCTCCCCTGAAGGCCACTTAAATCAAATCAGACTGGCTCATCAAGGTTGGTTGTCAGCCTGCTAATTCATCTGTATATGTGTGTATTTAAAACGGTGTTATTAAGAGGTCAATAGCTTAAGGAGAGCTGTGTTTGCTCAGCTGACAGGTTCTGTCATTTTATTTGATTATCTGACTTAATTTTTGTTTTAATATTAAAGGAGAACAAACCAAAAGAACTCACTATACACTGCCCTCAGCAATTTTCATAATGGAATGAAAAATATAGCGTCTATATCATATACATTACTTTTTTTGCTTTGCTGAATGTAAACATACCTGTGTACACCTGACTACACCTGTCAGTAATGGCACAAAATGATGATGGTTCATAAGTGTTGGGAATAGTGAATGAGCTTTATGGCTCACCACCATCTTGGCGGTGAGCCATAAAGCTAAACTCCAAGCATCAAAAGGCTCCCACTCAGTCCAGATCAGATGTCCATATTTTACTTGTCTTATTCTTTTTTGCTCGTCGTTTTCATCATTTGATCATCCATCATGCAGAAACGTTGCTGCAGTTAAAAAAGTCTGTGACATCAACACAACCATTAACGCTTCAGCATTTATCTCAATTATCAAAATCACAGCATCATCACCAGCAGTATGTTTTATTGTTAGGATCATCATCAGACTGTGGAGACCAGGAAACTATCCCTTTGGAGACACCTGGTTTTCTGTCATAAAATCTGACCTGATCTTCATCTCCTTCACAAGCGTAGACAAACACAATGCGCTTAAGATAATAACACACAATTACAACATCTTGTGTCTTTATTGAACCACACCCATTTAACATTCACAGTGCTGGTGGAAAAAGCAAGTGAACCATCGTATTTAATTAGTGGTCGATCCTCCTTTAGCAGGAATAACCTCAAACAAGCTGATGCTGATCAGACCTGCACAATGTTCAGGAGCAATTTTGGACTATTCTTCCTACAGCACTACTTCAGCTCGGACATATTAGGATGTCTGAGTTATGTATTAGGACGTATTGGATGAATGTCTGGGCTCTGATTGGACCACTCAAGAAGGTGGATTTTCTTCATTTGAAGTCATTCTGTAGTAGGTTTACTTTAGGGTCATTGTCCTGCTGCATCACAGCTTCTCCTGAGCTTCAGCAGGTGGACACACACCCTGGCATCAGTCCTGTATGACACCTTGATAAAGTTGGGAATTCATTTTCCCCTGGATGATGTTGAGCTGTTCCAGCCAAGAGGCAGCAAAGCTCCAGATCATGATGCTCCCCCCACCCTGCTTCACCTTTTGGATGATGTTTTAGACAGTTGACAGTTTGTGAAAACATGGACTGATGAATATCCAAACCCTTTTTAACCCTTCAGCTTCATGCAAATCAACAATTCTTGATTCTAAATCTTCTGAGATCTATTTTGTGTGTGGCTCACATCAGCAGAGGTTTCTTGTGAACAGCAAATTCAAAATGTGTTGTTATATATATATATTGTTATCGTGTTTTTATAAGTGAAAGTTTCTCTAACCCACACCTCAAATCTGGTTTCATTGACACCTGACTCCAACTAGTGTTTTGATGCCATTAGCCGAGAGGTTCACTATTTTTTCCAGCTACACTGTGAATGCTTGAATGATGTTTTCAATATGGACAAGAACAACACGGTGATTTGTATGTTATTAGTTAATATAAATTGTGTTTGTTCATAATTGTAACTTAGATGAAGACCTGATTATATGTTAATACAAATTTATACATAAGTGCAGGTAATTTTAAACGCTTCACTTACTTTTTCTTGCCACTGTATTCAAGGGGCAAATAGAGTCAGATAATAATATACTTACAGCTTTACCAAGGGTTATTCTGTACAGTTATGTCGGGCCCTCAGTATTTTGGGGGATGTTGATGTGTAGTGTCACTTCTGTAACTCAACTAATGAGATTATTTCTGCCTTCAGAGCAGCTCTGCCTCTGAGTAATATTTGTATGGCAGCTTTTTTTTTTTTCAGTTTGCCCCTTGATTATATGCAGCTCCATATGAATATGTCTTGGACTTTAACCACCACATAAGTACCTGGAGCTTGGAAAGACGAAGATTTCAACCACCAGAAAACACCAGCTTTGAAGATATCAGAACCTCCTTTGGCTCGACGATGCCCCAAAGAGACTCAACCGATAAGATAACACATATATAAATATATACATGGTTTTTAAGTTATTTTTAAGGAACTGTTTTGTATCATAACTGGCTTTCAATAAAGGGTGTAGTATGTCAGCTCAAACACCTCGACTGTCATTTGTCATACAGCTGGATGTCATCGACAGAACTGAACCAACCTTTCTTCAGTGGAATCTGAGCTCAGTGTCTAAGAGCTGCTGTAGTGATATAAATAGACACATTGCACCGATATGAGGAGCCTGTTTGAGCTGGTTTCTTGTCTGAGTGAGGTGTGTGTCTCTGTGTGTGTACCATGTCTTATACTATGAGTACTGTGGAAACCATAAATGCTTTTAATTTTGAAAAAAATATAATCAGTGTTTGCATAAGGACAAAGCTGTTTATTTGCTTTACATTGCTATTATTATATATGGAGAAAGTATGGTCACTTTGGTGCAGACTGAAATATCTCAGCAGTTATTGTATAGAAACGTTGACGATGCTCTGACTTTTCATCCTGCACCACAAGCAGGTCAAAATGTTCACTTACCCAATGAAATATCTCAACATCTGCAACATGGATCGGCATAACATTTTGTACAGACATTAAATGGTTCCCAGGCTGTGTCCTAATGACTCTGGTGGTTTTCATGTCGCGCCATCATCATCTGGTCAAAACTTTAGTTTGGTTTTTGGCCAAATACCTGCAAAACTAATGACATTCAGCCTCAGCTGCACTTTGTGTTTAGTGCAAATTAACCATTGACAGCATGCTAACAAGCTAATTTGACATGGTAAACAGTATACCTGCTGAACATCAGCGTGTTAGCATTGGCATCGTAAGCATGTTAGCATTGACATTAGCTGCGCCCAACTACATCCTCATTCAGCTTCTTTTTAGAAGAAGTTTATAAGAAAATGAAAATAGTCTTTTGTCTAAAATCTGACGAGACCGTCCATATTCTGAGTTTGGAACAAGGAGCATATAACAGATAAAATTTTGAGAGGTTTAACCACTTGAATCCACCACACAGGCCATGAATGTCAGCAGCTCACCAATAAAAACAGACAAAGGTTGTCAGGTAAGTGGATGTCCCGTTGGATCTGTTGTGGATCTGATGCTGTTCTTCCAGAGACTGGACCCTTAGACCGTGAATCTGCAGAATCTCTCTGAAGATATATCTCACACAGGCTCTAGGAGAAACCAGAAGCAAACTTACAACCAAATCAAGTCACATCATCTTCTTCATGTGCAATGTTTCCTACTTGCTGTGTCATCAGTCTGACTTCTTCTCTCTTCCAGTGATCCCCAAAAGACACTTTTACATTGCATTTACCACTTAACGTGAACCAGGTGTGAATTCACAGGTAATTCCACCTAATTTTGAACGCAGCTTCCCCCATTTCCAGCAAAGTTCAACAACAGGTGTTGAGAATTTCAATAGTAACAGTTCATTTTTCTGAAAGCTACCCTCTGGTTTACTGTGGAGTCCTTCATGATATCACCAGAACAAGTAAATACAAAGTGGTCATGCAGGTATGAAGATGCACATGACTGCAAAAATGTGCACCACACACACACAAACACAAACACAGACAAAACACAAAACTGTTACACACAGTGAGCAGATGTCTGGAAATTCCCTGTGCAGTCATGACATAAGGATGTTTGCACAAGAACACAATGAGTGTGTTAGGAAAGGTTTTCAAGGATGCTAATGTTACATTATTGACACTGACTAACTGCATGAGTTACAAAGACACACAGCTCCTCTGTGTTTCCACAGTCCTTTGCTAATATGCATCACTCTTTGTGAAAGGATTTCAACACTGGAGTCCATTAAATCTGTCAGACATCCAGCATGTTAACTTTATATTCTCATACACAAAGTCCAGTGCAAGATAATCTTCTGTCTTTCCTCCTTTAACTCTCAGGAATTGAAAATGTATCACAATGAAATGACCAGTGAGTTAAGTCCAGAGCAAAATGATTTTATCAGTTGTTTCATTTTACCAGATTCACATCAGACCTGAGGACGCCCAATATCAACCATCACAAACCTGCTGAAGCTGAAACAGAAAACACCATCTAGAGAAAAGATGATAACTGTTTTTTTTTGTTTTTAAAAAAAAAGAAAAGAAAATATATATATATATTTTTACAGTTTTAGACCTGTGTTTGAACTAATAGCAGACATACAGCCTTGCATTATAGGCCACAGAACACACAGAAGTAAAGTCTTCCATGTTTTCTTCTGGGCTTTGGGGGTTTAAACACCCTGAGGAGGAGTATGTATTTTACAATTACGCATAAGTTGCAGTGGCTGAGTTTTTAAAGGAGAGTGACTTTGACAATTAGTTCTGACAGAAAATGTTTTAAAATACAGGTATTTGGTATTTTTCAACCATGGACAAAAGTATTGGGCCACACCTCTTAATCACTGAATTCAGGTGTTTCATTCAGTGCCATTGCCACAGGTCAATCAAGCGCCTAGCCATGCAGTCTGCCTTTATAAACGTTTGTGAAAGAATGGGTCGTTCTGAAGAGCTCACTGAATTCGAGCGTGGTACTGTAATAGGACGCCACCGTTGCAACAAGCCAGTTCGTGAAATATCTTCCCTCCTAAATATTCCACAATCAACTGTGAGTGGTATTATTGCAAAGTGGAAGCATTTAGGATCCACAGCAACTCAGCCACAAAGTGGCAGACCACGTAAAGTTACAGGGCAGAGGCGCCGAGTGCTGAGGCGCATAGTGCGTAAAAGTCTGACTCAAAAACTGCAGAGTTCCAAACCTCCTCTGGCATTAACATCAGCACAAAAACTGTGCGCCGGGAGCTCCATGGCATGGGTTTCCATGGCCGAGCAGCTGCGTGCAAGCCTGACATCACCAAGCACAATGCCAAGCGTCGGATGGAGTGGTGTAAAGCACGCCGCCACTGGACTCTGGAGCAGTGGGAACATGTTCTGTGGAGTGACGAATCACGCTTCTCTATCTGGCAGTCTGAGAGGAGAACGTTACCTGCCTGACTGCATTGTACCAACTGTAAAGTTTGGTGGATAATGCTATGGGGTTGTTTTTTCAGGGTTTGGCCTAAGCCCCTTAGTTCCAGTGAAGGGAAATCTTAATGCGTCAGCTTACCAAGACATTTTGGACAATTCTATGTTTCCAACTTTGTGGGAACAGTTTGGGGAAGGCCCTTTTCTGTTCCAGCATGACTGTGGCCCAGTGAACAAAGCTAGGTCCGTAAAGGCATGGTTGGGTGAGTTTGGTGCGGAAGAACAGAGCCCTGACCTCAACCCCCATCGAACACCTTTGGGATGAACTAGAACATAGATTGCGAGCCAGGCCCTCTAGTCCTACATCAGTGTCTGATCTAACAAATGCATGCTCTTCTAGATGAATGGGCAAAAATTCCCACAGACACTCCAAAATCTTGTAGAAAGCCTTCCCAGAAGAGTGGAAGCTGTTATAGCTGCAAAGGCGGGACCAACTCCAAAATAATGCCTATGGATTTAGAATGGGATGTCATAAAAGCTCCAGTACGTGTAATGTGTAGGTGGCCCAATACTTTTGTCCATATAGTGTATGTCGTGCCATTGTAGAGGGGGCTTAAGGTAATATAGGATTCATAGAAAATGTAAAAAACAATTAAACTGATATAAAAAGAAGGAAAATAATATTAAGAAATGACACAAGCATTTTATTGGCTTTCTCACAGTTGCAGGGTTGTGCTGGTGTTTGGACTCATTAGGCTCAGTATTCTGGCAACAGACTTCCATGAACTTTAAATTCTTGCCATAAAATATAAAAAAGAAAAAATGAGTTAATAAATCAAACATTTGTTTTCACAAGTGGCACAACTGCTGACAAACTTCATGGAACATGTGAATAACTGGGGGTGCTCTGGTAGCCTGGGGTGTGGTGTGTATGATCCGTATGGTGCCTGATTCAAGTCAAGCCAGGGACCTTAGCTGCATGTCATTACTCATCTTTCTACTGTCATAAAAGGCCCAAAAAAAATAGGTTTTAAAAACTTTTTAAGTAGATACATTAATCAATTCACCTTAAAATATTCTGTCTTGGACACTCTCGTTTTGAAGTGTCACACTCCTTATTTCTTCCTCATATCTGTGCACTTTCTGACACCTAAGACCACTTTCTCCCATGCAGAACATTTTCTCCACAGACCTATGGTAATAAGTCTGTGGTGTGTCTGATTCAGCTGCTCACACCTGCTGATGCTCCTCGGAGAATAATTATCTTCAAAAACACAGGCTGATTCAATGACACCACATGCAAAGCAGACAGAGGTGAAGGTGGTGTAATGATGGTGGAGATTAAAATGTGGAGTGAAAAGTATCATTACATCTGGAAATACTGAATGAGTTTAAGTGAGATTGTTGGACTCAGTCTATCTACAAACGAAGAATGATGTTGCACTATCTGTTGATTCTGTCTAAATGGGATCTTTGGTAAAACTCTAATTGTAGCTGTAGTCTTTTGCTAATACTGTAAAACTGTAAATTCATTTTATTTCTCTTAATTTTTTGATCTTATGTTGAAAACTAGTTAAGAGTAATGTGTAAAGATGCACTTTTTAACACCTAAGGTACAATAGTTAAATTGGCCATGACAGTAGCCAGACCACAGTTGTAACACAGGATTTGATAAATCCATGTAACCGGATGATAGCAATACACCACAGGGGTTTGGGAATGGTTTCATCACAACAATCAGTCAACTCAAAAGTGTCAGTTCACAGCATCTATATCCCCTGCATGTAGTCACATCCTTACATTCATAGAACACTGAGCTTTCCTGGTCATAAACATAGTCGTAACTATAATTAGGGTGCCTGTGATCGCCAGAGCGAGAGGATGAGTGTCATCAGGTGAAGAATTAAACCCACTGCAAGGCTTGAGATAATGATGGGTTTCCCATCTTCCATGTTTAATATGATGTAAATCATGAGTACTTGTGTCCTGGAGGAATGTCTGTGCTGACATGCTAAACACGGGGATGTCCCGACTTGGTGGGCATGTCACTGCAACATGTAACACCAATTCAACCTGGCTCCTCCTGTAATGTTACCACAGGAACAAAGGAGGTTTAGCTCTGGAGCTCTAAATCCTTATACAAGGCTTTGTTATAATTCTTTTTTTTTGGCTCAGAGTCTCTGTCCAAAATATGCAAGCTCCTATACAGAGCCCTCTTGACACAGTTAAGTGTCTTGTAATACACAGTGGGAAACAGCCTATGTTATTACTTTTACTTTGGCTTACAGATTGCTGCATAGAACAGTTGATATATTTGACACCATAAAGAAAATACATTTATTTGGTGTGTCTACTAAATTGTTATGGCTGTGTTGAGTGCTGAAAGGTGAAAATGAGTCGATCAATTTTCCATATCAAAAGTTATTATCATGGGGAAAAAAATCACACACAAAATGTTGGCTTTAAACCTGGTCACACATAGGCATCTCAGGGGTTAATTACCATATGTGTCTACCTGTAAGTCAAAGCAATATCTTCCCATTGTGACACCAACAAAAATAAATTAAAATGAACAAATAGAAAAACACAAAGTAGTGTAGGCAGACACAAATACAGGAATAAAGAAAAGTGACTTATTGTAACTATTGCATCGATTTAATTAATGCTTCGAGCGCCCCCTGCTGGCTAAATCAAAGTAGAACCTTCTTCTCCATGCATCGCAATTCCCGGAAAAGATGTAATTGTGTCATCAAAATAAATGTATCGAATTTGTTACATGTGATTGGGATTACCGAGTTACTATTTTTTTTTATATTTTATGCTGCAGGTCTAACCCCATTTGAGTCCCCTCATTCTCTGAAAGCAAATTTGTCAAATTGAATGCACCATATTGCTAAATGCTATTCTATATATTTCTCTATTTTACTCTTATTGGAGGCTTTGGTGGGTTTGGGCCAGTGTTTTACACACACTACAAATTAAATAACGATGGGAACCCTAAATTGTGTATATTGAATATTTACACAGATGATTTTGTGACATCTAAAAATATCCAGGTCCTTACTCAACATCTGCTTCTTGAAAGACAACCTGTACAATTCCACAATGACTTTTGCATCAGAAAAGATAAGTTACATTACAAATACCAACTTGACAAGTTTTGGGACATTTGGAACATCTTTTGTAACGTCCTGATCTGAAATGTAACAATATTGAAGTAGAAGGATGGAACAATGAACTGAATTGACAGCTATATAGGCCGCCCCCCCCCCCTTTTTTTCTTCAAATTATGTATTTTCTATTATTATTATTTGTGATTGTCAAATAATTTTACTCATTATTGTTTATTTATTATCATATATGTTGTATTTTTGCACTTATATGTGCCTTCTTGCTCCGTGTTTGTATTGTTCTTAAACTAAAAAATCAAGTTCAATAAAGAAATGTTGGGAAAAAAACAATTTGAGGACAAAGTACAGGTGTATTTAGATTTAGACGTATAATTTATTCATTTTTCTGGTCAAGCCGGGTCAAGTCACATTTATTATGAAAGACTCAGACCGGAAGTCGTCTTGTTGTTGCCGCTCACGTAGTACGAGCGAGGGAAATTGAGTCGCTAACGTGAGTGTGAAGAAGCAACAAAGTAAAGATTGGAAGCACTTTTACTTCGTGATGAAGCGTACTTTTGTGGTGTCAGCACGGACGCGTTAAACCTTTTAACCTAGCCAAATTAGTCGAATAAGCTTTAACGCTAGCTGTACATATGTTTATGTTTTTATAGTAAGCAAGCTAACGTTAACCAGGAAGCCAAGCGTTGCTAAGTCAACGCAAGTCACCGGCAAGTAAAACATATCTTCGACGTTTGGAGCTACGTTGTACTTAAAGAGAAAGCGTTTTATTTGACATTTTGTTCTCTTACCTGAGAAAGGAAAGAGAGAGTTCGTCGAAGAGTCGTTGGCAGTCGCTGGGGATGTCATCGCCTCCATGTGGACGCAGGAGTCATGAGGGGTCAACTCACACATCAGACAGCGATTCAGAGGACGAGGTACCTGTTGTCTTTACTCTGCTTTATTTACAACAAAGACGTTTATTTTCGCCCTTCCCGACAGCTGTCCGACGCTGTCCTGATCTGAAACATGCACCAACCAACCACCAACCAATTATAAACTTACTTTTTTAATTGTAAAGTTTTCATAACACATAAAACCAGAACTTAAATGACATAAGTTGAACACAGATGAACATAAAAGTAATGCAAATGTAAAAAGAAAAAAAGAATAAAAAATCACAGGGGGACATAAATACACCACTATATATAAAACCTAGGAGGAAAGGTAACAATTAAGGAATTGATTTGTTTGTGGATAAAGAATTTTGCATTCAGAATTATGAAGTCAGGTAAAAATTCAGATTGCCATCATTTGGATTATCATAGTGATAAATAATATTTTTAAGGTTGAAGGAGTAGAGAGATATTATTCTGGGATATTTCACACTCAAAAAATAGATGAGAAATTGTTTCTAAATCATGTTTTCAAAAGGTACAAGAGGAATCAATATCTGAAAATTTGGCCAGGTGTATATATTATGCATAATTTTACAATGAACTTCCTCAGCCTTGTATGTATATTGTAAAGTTGTACCTCTTGACTGTGATTTGTTTATGTCCCCACAGCCCAAGCTCCCCCTCAACCAGTTCTATCCATACATCCGCTGCGCCCTGTGCTGCGGCTTCCTCATCGATGCCACCACCATCACAGAGTGCCTGCACACATGTAAGTTACAACACAGGTCATCTTTTACTCCTCAGTCAAGTGGATGGTTAATCCGGGGCTTTCCACAATGATAGGGTCTGGCGTCTGCTGTGGAACCTTTTAATGCCACTATTCCATCATATACACTGATCTTAATTATTACATATTTAATTTAAGTTTAACTACCAGATTGTAACATGTAATGAATTATTGTGAAGGAGAATTAGGCTTCTTGTGCGTTTTAGCCCATTTAAGATTATACCTACTGTATTCCTGAATGATGAGAACATTTATTCATGGTTCTGATGTTGCCCTTGCTGGTTCCTCTACCTGCTCTATAAAACGGTCGATCGATCGATCGATCGATCGATCGATCGATCGATCAATCAATCAATCAGACTTTATTTGTGTAGCCCTTTTCATACAAACAATGCAAAATAAAGTGCTTTACAGAATAAAAGCAATAAAAACACAATACAATACACACATTTACACACAGAACAATAAATGACCAAGTAATGAATAAAATCAATAGAAATAAGACAATAACAGGAACTGAGGAAATGCTATCATGAATCGCAAAGATAAGGATAGAGTGATAAAGATAAGATAATAAAATGCTAAAAGAGAGGGGATGTTTGGAAGTGAGTAAAACCAGAAATAAAAGCAGAAATGAAATGAATAACCAGAAATAAAAGTTCGGTATTAAAAGGAAAATAATCGAGAAAATAATCAAAGAATAAAAGGACAAACTGGTGACACAGCTTAAAATATATAAACAAAACCACATTTGTAAAACCAAATTACATACTGCATCAGTAAAATATTATATAATATATTATTACACATTTCAATTTAAAATGGCATTAGTTCTAAATTGAAATATTTACAAGAATTGAAATTAAAACCAAATCAAAACTTGAATTAGCAGCATGTATTCATTCCAATATTCTTGATAAGCTGACTTACTTTAACAGCATTGCCAGTTTTAGTGTGTGTTTGCCATGTGTCTTAGAGATGGCTCTGCTGTAAAAAGCGCAATGTAAATAACGATTGTTCATTCATTCATTAAGCCCATAAACGTCTCTGTGGTACATATGGAAAAAGCAGCCATTCAGTGGACTTTCTAATGCTGACTGCACAATCTTACTGAAGTAGCCCGTCTAATAAGGATGTCTCCTGTCTGTGCAATCATTGCAATTCTTGATATGTTTTGGGCTTTGTAACTTAGCAGCCCTGTTACATACACACAATAGCTATATAACACAGACAAAGGGAAAAAACCCAAAAACATAACATGGGCACTTTAATCTGATACGTGCTTTTGTCACTGAGTGCATAGCAACGTATAAGCATTGATTTGGTTTCTCCTTTGGAAACCTGACTTTCTGGGATATGGTAAGGCAGATGGACAACATGGTGATTGATATACAATAAAGGTCTGAACTTTGGATGCATTTAACCTCTCACCTGATGTCCACATATGCCAGAGTTAAACCAGACCATACAACAATCGGCCAATATTAGCTTATCACTGATAAATCAGTATCGGTGTATATATATTGGCCAGTAATTAACAAGAAATTTCAGTATCAAGAAGCCAAAGACATGTTATATCAAGTTAAACTGTCTCCATTACATAGTTTGTCCAGCAGAGGCAGTTGACAAGTTTTCTACAGCAAAACATCCTCTTCACTGTTTGTTTTGATCACAATTCTTTAACAAACAGATTTAAGGGATCCGTATCAAACATGTTCATGTGCAGACATAATGAATATCAGCTGATATACGTATAGTCATAAGATTATTTAGATTCAAATATTAATGTATCTCAGCCCCAAAAGTCCATATTAGTCTGGCTGTCACATACTTGACTCCTGACTGTGTCCCCTATTGTTTTGTGTTTAACCTTTTCCCAGTTTGTAAAAGCTGCATTGTGAAGCACTTCTTCTACAGCAACAGGTGTCCCACATGCAGCATTGTTGTCCACCAGACACAGCCCCTTTACAACATCAGGTAGGCCCGCTCATTCTTGAAGTGTCTGGTGATTTGTTTCACCCTCTGTGCCTGTAAAATGACCAGATGTTTTTGAAAGTTCAATTGGAGTTAGTTAAGAGAAAAGAATGGAAAAAATCCTACAAGAATAGTTTTGCAAATTGGAATGCATTATTGGAATGCATCAACTTGTTTAAAGTTTATTGTCAAAGGAGATTTTGACCTGAAGAATTCAAAAAGTGTTTGAAATTTATGATTTCAATGATTTTTATAATTTATGAACTCTGCTCTCACTCAGATCTGTAAGTCTGTTAAGCTTCAAATGCTTTTTTTCCTGCAGGCTGGACAGACAACTGCAGGATATTGTTTACAAAATGGTTCCCTTCTTGGAGGAGCGTAAGTATGTGCACAATGTACAAAAAACTGAGTACACCCTTGGTCAGTATCACTAAAAGGTTAAGTACTTACAAGTCCTGTCCATTTTATACAGTTTAGACAAATTTGGCTAAAAATACTGGAGCTGATTAATTTGAAAAACAGAAATGTCTGACTAGATAAACAATAATGAAAGCTCCATATCAAAGAACCAACTGCAACAAAAGTCAGTTCACCCCTCATTAGTGGGATTCAGTTCTTTTATTTTTTTTATATTATGTGTGTCCACCTTTAATTTTGATGGCAGATTAGATCCTCCAGGGCTGGATGATACCCAAACCTGTGGACATGTTCTGTCATTCCACATAGACGTGTCTTTTCAGCTGCTCTTTGCAGGAGGGGGTTTGCTCCTCTGCCTTCCACTTTAAAATCCAGACAGTTCTCTCCTGCCAAGCTTCTTGAGACTGGGAGTCATCTTTTCATTTAGTATTGGGGTAAACAAACTTGCATCCATAGTGCCTAGACCTACATATTGGCACAGATAATCATTGTCCTGAGGTTAATGCACGAGTTGCATTAGACACAACCCAGGACAGAACTGATGAAGTTGTGGTGTCCACACGTTCTTTTACATCCTCGTTCGTAAAACTAGGTTTAACTGGAAGTCACTTGTGTAATTAGTTTTGTGGCGTTGCTTACAGGTGTTCAAGTTCATCTTTTACCTGTTTGTTTTTAATTATACATAAGATCATTAAGCCTACACTTCAACTTGAAATAATGTAATATGGTGCAATTTTGAATCATTTAATGTTTTAGTGATATTGCATACTAAGTTTTGTTATATACTTTATGTATAGTTAGATGTATTTAATGTAATTTTTTTTTTTTTCTACAGTTGAACGAGAGAGAATGTGTAACTTCTACAAAGAGAGAGGGCTGGAGGTGCCAAAACCAGGTAAAATAGTTCTGCATTAAATGTTTAAGTAAACAGTGTATAAGCTGTGTAAAGTAACATGCAGTAATGTCACTTTCCTTCTTTGTAGAAAGGTATTCAATATCAAAGTATTTGGTGGACTTAACTGCATTGTTACTCTACATACTGCAGAGAGGCTCCCAAATAATTTCTAAGTAATAAATGTTTTGCCTGTCACTGCAGTGCCCCCTCTGTCCAATCAGAGTATTCTTGATGACACTGAAACACAGCCTATGTTTCATCAGACTGGGATTAGTGGGGTCTTCACTGGAAGCATAAAGACAAGAACAAAGGTCCTCAAAATGGGGGAACAACTGCTGGGGACTTTTCCTCTTTATTATTCTAATAGGAGAAAGTAAATTACACTCAGAAAGATTTTGAGTTTGTGGCGTAATGATCACAAATAATTCCAGTTTGTGAATTTGTAGTTGTAAATCAACCTTTGTAAACCCCTAAAATAAATCTGCACGAGATATTGAAGCTTTTACATGTGTAGAAAAGATTTCTATTTGTAAGAAAAAATAAAAGTATGACTGTGAATAAAATCTGAACAAATTGTGAACAAAATCAGTGGTGTGGTAACACAAAAAAGGAAAGTAGTGCTTTGTGAACATGTGTGCAGACACGAAGCAGAACACTATGTGTAAAACCCATACTGTGTGCGAAGTAACAAGTATGAATTCTGACCCTGTTTTTACCCCTGAATCTGATCTGAGATCTGAATTCCTTGCCACTGTCGCCAAGTGCTCTCTCACAGTGGAATGTTGGGTCTCTGTAAATAAAGAGTACAATCTAGACCCGCACATCATGAGAGGTGCCCAGAGATAAACTTCTGTTATGATTTGGTGCTATTTAAATAACGAACTTGACCTGACATTAAATCTGAAAATTCATAAAGTTGGTCACTGAAGCGATTCGTCTGTGTTTTCTCTTTGCACCTTTGCAGTAATGATCACCTCTCCAGGTCCTGTTGTGTCAAAGAGGCAGAAGAAAGATAACATTCCTCAGTCTGTGTTCACCATCCCCCCTGAGCTGGATATATCTCTGCTGCTGGAGTTTGTAGGGTAAGGATTCATTACTGCTATACAAGGTGCTCAGCCTCTTAGACATTTATATATAATTTAAAGGCCCTATACAACTGAGATAAAAACACAATGTAGTTTGTAGTTGTAATAATCCAATTTAATTACCTGTACTCAACTGTTTCTCGCTAGCTAAACATATCATGGTATTTTCAGTCTTCCCTCACTGGGGGATGTTTTAACGAGTCAGTTAGCCACATGTGGTGTCGGGATGATACAGAGGAAGTTCAGCATCTGGTACTTTCAGGCACACTCAAGTAACAGCGATTTTGTCCTCTTTTCTTTTCTTTTCTTTTTTCTTTTCTTTTCTTTTCTTTGCATGATGTTGAAATTTATAAAAAATAAGAGGTATTTTCTTGGCCGCCATTGGACTTGTCACAGGTATAAATAATTATATATATATATAAATATCTAAAAAATAAGAGGTCACAAATTGTATTTCCAGGACTTGGTGCTAGAAGTATAAAACTCTGTAGATTCATCACAAAAACTATGTGTACGCACAAAACCAGAAATATGCATACATGTTCTTTTCGTGAGAATTATAAATCCATGCGTACACATTGGTCCCACTTTATAAATCTCACTCATTGAGAAATTGGGCACGTGCACGATTGCACAAATGGGAGGCAAAAAATTGCATCACTAAACTTCAGTTCAATCACTCCAAATGTAAAGTCTTGTTTTATCTCCTTCATTAGGCTCCAGACAGGTGTCTAAAATTGTGATTAGTAAATATTAAAATAGTATGGAAACAGTTTACAGAAACAATAAATAACAAGGATATTAATCAATGCTAAAGTAAACATTGAGCACACAAACACAATTATTGTAACTAACTTGGATCACTTTGGAAAACTGTGTGTACACATGGTCAGTGCGTGGCATGTGCACATTCACACTGCACATTCTGTGTTAATAAATATCAATTTATATGCGGGAAATGGCATACACATGACTTTTGTGTGTATGCATCATTTCTGCATACGCCCCCCTGGTGCTTTGCTTTTAGTCTGTAGACTGACCTGAGTTTGGCTCCTGGCAAACATGTTGTAGAAAATGAATGACATTACCATGCAGTTACTTAGACATGTCACCAGATGGTCCTGTTGTCTTACACCGACTGCCTGCTCACTACAAAAAATGTATTTACGTTGACTCTTGTTTTTTTTTCAGGGCTGAAGAAGGCATTAACAACTATAAGGTAATGATCTAAATTTTAAATATTTATTAGGTCTTATAAGATCATAATAGTGCACTGTAACAGAAACTATTAAGACAAGATGGATGATAACTAGATAAAGCTGCACCCTGGATTTCTTTGGATTAGAGAGTCTGTCAGATATTGCATTGCATTATTTTTTAGGGTCATTTAAATTTACTTCACTTGTACTTTAACTGTAAAATATTTTGTGGCGTTTTAGCACTGGTCTCTTAGTTTTTAGCTGCTAGTTTTTCTACTGTCTTCAGCAGCTATTTGCTTATTTGCTGTAACAAGCAGTTTACTGTCGGGGAGGCCAGTGATCTTTAAGTGAAAATTTTCAGTAATAAATGAGGTTTTAAATGAGAATAATTGTGTGGGATTAAATAAGATTGAAGACAAAACACTTGTTCTGTGTAATAACAGACTCAACTTCAGGGTTAAAGTAGTGAAGCCACCTTGTTTTCTCAAGGTTACACAGTTTTAAATGACATGTTAAAACACAGTTTTAAACGAATGTCACTCGTCTGAAAGTCTGTGATACAGTATATTCTTCCCTGACCATCCTGTTCCTGTGTAGCCATTAGAGAGGCCGTATGTCCGTGTGTCTGGTGAGGCCACGATCCGCCACGTGGAGTTGTTCATCAGGAGGAAGATGGAGCTTAGCCCAACCTGCCAGGTGAGTCTGCCAGGCTTACAGCTAATCAGTTAACCAACTGACATGACTACAGTCCTGATCCTGATTGTTGCTTTAGACAAACTTGGAAGCAGGACAGCAGAAGGCAGTCGGCATTACAGTGTAGTGTAGGCATGCACAGTGCCCAGGATCAGACTAGTGTTTAGACTCCTTCACTTCTGCATATTTATTAAAAATCTGAACTGTATTTTAGTCAGAGCCTTTTCTTGTGGCTCCAGGTTTTGGTCAGGGACCTCCTGTTTGCTTTAATTATCCTTGAGAAGTGTGTAGAACTTGATTGGAGTCCACCTGTGGCAAACTGAATTGATTAGACACAGTTTACAAAGACACACACCTGTGTATGTAAGGTCCCACAATTCACATTGCATATAAGAACAAAAACCAAACCATGAAGTCCAACAAACTCTGTAGACCTCCATGATAAAACAGTGGTGAGGAATATATCAGAACAATATAAAACAGAAGTGCAGTGGCCTCAAAAATCGTGAAATTGTAGAAGCCTGGAAACATCAGGACTCTTTCTAGAGTTTGCCGTCTAACTAAACTGAGTCACCAGGTAAGAAGGGCCTTGGCTCCAGAGTGCATGCGACCTGAGACTGAGGTGACAGTTCACCTTTCAGCACGACATGAAGCATATGGCCAAGAAAATCATGTAGATTGCCCACACAGCATGTTGACATTGTCAAGATATGTTTCAGTTTTATTTGCCAGTGTTGGACATCAGCTCTCCAGAAAAGCAGCAGTTGTATCACATGTTCCTTTGATTGGCACATCCTGGCTACCGTAGCCTGACTACTACTCCTGCATGTGTGGTGCAGTCAGGAGTCGCTATGTGTGGCAACTGACTTGTGTCAAACAAGCTACATGATGCTTCATGTGCAATATGTAAATCGATTTAACAAATCAGCTACAGGTTTTTGAAGTTACAGTAGTTGTCGCAATAATTTTACATATTTTAAAAAGTATGTGAAATGATTATTGTAATCATTGGACCTTGTATGTAGCAAAAGGGTTAATACAACACATATAAGTATATACGTATTGGACTGGGATACAATCCTGATAAAGGCAGGATAGCTGAAAACAGAGAAATAAAACGGATGTGTGATGTGTTTAATTTGATTAATTTGCTTGTTTGTCAGTAAATTACAGCAACACCGGACAATGTGAAAGTCAGCTTTATCATTATCTTATTGAAAGAAGTGGCACGATGTCAGTGTTACACAAATCAACATCAGATCGGACCACATGTATCTCTATGGGTGAACATATGTCAGCTGTACCTCCTCCATGATTAAAACTCATTTAACTATCTAGCTGGAAAGAGAGAGAAACAATAGACCTAAAGAGAAATAGTAGTGGGAAAACAAGAGGGAACAGAAATGCACATGTGGACAGTGCGGAGACGAAACAACTGCTGAATGCAATCAGAGCCCAAAATAGAAAGGTCAACCGCTCAGGTCAAAACTCAGCAGGCTGCCATCGTCTAAAGGACGGCAGACACTCATTGAGGACAACCGTAATCTGATTACAATCAAATTATTAATGCAGTGATACCATATGTCTGTCTCAGAGCTGTAAGAGGAGGCTGATGATCACAAATGTTAGTGTCAGGATCAGATGTGGACGTTTTCCTTTGCTCAGAGCACAGACAGAAATATTCAAGCGCGGTCAGTTTAACAGACAGAGTTCAGGAGTGGGTGCATTTTGTATTTAGTAACACGTGGATGAGGATTAGCAGCTTACACTGATTTCCTGGCTTCACTGCGCCTGCCTGTCTGGACAAACCTGGACAGGACAGAGGGAGAGGAATCATTGGGCACTGTTCATTGTAGCAGAGGTCACAATAGTTATGTAACTTTTCCCTTTTAAATTCTTGCGTTCCAATAACACTTTTAGTATTAGAATCAACTAGCAGATGTTTTAGTCTACCCCATCATCTCCATCCAGTTTGTCATAAATATCTGAGGCATTTCCTGTGTGTGTTTAGTGTTTTTTGTTAGATAAATGTGTCCCCTGCATTTCTGATGTGGCAGTGTGTAGATGTGTAGAAGGTTTAGTCTGGTCAAAACTAATCCATAATCTGAAATTCTCAAGCACTCATAATTTGTCCCATCAAATTGGGACTCAGCTCTTTCTGATTGAAATGTTTCTGTGTGTCCTGCAGGTGGACGTGGTTTGTGGAGATCACCTCCTCGATCACTACCAGTCACTCAAAGACATACAGAACTCTTTGGGTGAAGAGGCGCTGCAGGTAAGAGCCAGAGACACACACTGGAACAAACCACAATTGTAATAATTGAAATTTCATAGGAATACTGATCATGTTGATTGATCCTTTTGTTTTGTTTCCATTTTGCTTCAGGACGGTCTGTTGGTGCTTCACTTCGGTCTGGTCCTGCCCTCCGAGTCTTGAGCAGTTACCTCCTGAGGGAATGAACTGTCTTGTTAGACTTTGATTCTCTTCATCAGACTCATGATGTGGAGTAAAGTGTCTACATTTGCATTATAACTGCTTCCTGACTGTCTTGGATGTGTTGATAGACCACGTCCAAGAACTCTAAACTCTGAAACACTGTAGCATCAAATGTTCAACTCTAAAGATGACAGGTACATACGTTTGATTTACCGAAGTGCCAGCATTTAAAAATGAATTTTACCTGACAAGTGGAAATGATAAATTTCTGTTCCTACTGCCATGATCAGTGTGGTTCCAGTCCACAAGAATGTGACTTCTACACTTCTGCTGTTGCTTAAACTGGACTTTACTGTTAGTGAGTGTGGAAGTGTCTGTAAAGGCAACACAAGCTGCATCAGTCTAGTTTAACTCTCTTTTTATAAACCAGGGACCTGTTTCTTATTTGTTTGTATTTATGATTTCAAGTGTTGACTGTGATTTCAGATAGATACTTCTGATCTAAAGGGCTTGAAACAAAAGGACTACCACTACCAAAGCTGTGTGTGTGTGTGTGTGTGTGTGTGTGTGTGTGTGTGTGTGTGTGTGTGTGTGTGTGTGTGTGTGTGTGTGTGTGTGTGTGTGTGCGTGTGCGTGCGCGCGCGTGCACATGCGTGTGTACGAGCTTAGATTTGCATAGTATCTTTAAGTCCAGCTTGCTTCTTGGTGATCTACACATTTAATTTAAGGGCTATTAACTTTTCTATAGAGCGTCTGCTCGTGTAATTTAATACAACTGACTTGATAAATATTAGCTGGCAGTACAACTCAGAGTCAAAAACATTAATTTATAGGGTGTGTGTATAAAGAAGTCTTTTGATAGTTTATTAAAAATAGCTTTCCTGTTTGCTTTTGTCAGTTTGAATTAATAAATAAAAGCACAACTGAAAAGTGTTTCCTAAGTCATCCATGTTTCCTTTTGTAGGGGTGGGTTTAGAAACTTGGATCAGGCAGGAAGATTCAAAGAAGTGGGACACATTTTGTAAAACAGTTCAAATCTTTTAAGACTCAAATTTAAAGCCCTCATTCTTGGCTATAATAACCTGTACATTATTAATAGTTACATTGCTTATTTAAAGGTCCCATATAGTCTAAAGGTAGATGTCCATGTGTTGTTTGATTATACAGCAGGTCTAGGTTCTATATTAATACTATGAAAGTATCAAAGCCTCAGTCCACAGAGAAATGCACACAGCCTGTATTCAGAAACTGAGCCTTAAAACCAGCCGTCACGACTTGTAACTTTGTGATGTCACAACAAAGCAGTCACGGCTCTCAGCCATGCCCAAAGCCCCGCCCACATGGACCCACCATCCAACCTTGCAGGATTTGGTTTCTCTGAGTGTTTACCTGAAATCTGCTGTATTTTTATTGGGTCACTCAGAAAACAGTCAGCCAATCAGAAGAGAGACTCAGCCTCCTCTCTTCTGATTGGTCATATTGTCTCTTTGTAGTTGTTTGATTGACTTCCTTTGATAAAAGTCTACCAGCATGTATTATTTAGTTTAATATCTTTCTATGCTGAATTAGTTCTTCATCTTAAAGGTGACTGAGTGAGTCACTAACCACATCTACAGAATGATAGGAAAAACTCAAAGTTTTGCAAATCCTAAGAATTGGGTGGAGAAAACAGTAGAATTATGGGTATTAAATCATTAAAATATAACGAGCTGAGGCTCTTACCCTGTGTGGTCTGAACTAGTGGAGGCTGACATCTAAGTGGAGGCAGAATGGATGATCATCCTCGTGTATTTGTGAATATGCTGACTTGGATAAAGAAACATGGAGACCAGTTTGTCAGTCATGTCGTTTTATTCAATGCATTATTCAGCGCAATTGAAATTTCCAGTAGGTGTACACATTGGACAGTTGGACTACATGTACTGTTTGATGCGTTGAATATTTTCAATACTGAAGCACATTGTAATAATCCATGCTAGCTATTCTTTCTGTCACTATAAGGTTTTCCAGTACAGAATACTGTACTGCAACACTGATCATGTTAGTGGGGTAATCTACACTTCATAATGTCTGCAACAGTGCAACCAAAAAGCCAGCAGACACTGACATCATCCACATACACTATGTGCCCAAAGTGTTTTAAACTCAACGTTCATTGACAACAACAGACACGTGGCACTACACTAACATTTGTGTCTTTCTCTTATGAAAGTCTGTGTGGGCAATCTCTCTTTTTTTTCTCACCTGGAACACAGGTTTCAGTGCAATTTTACACAGATGGAAATTCATCCAGGAACAGTGCTTAGTCACATATCTGTTACTGTACAGTACACTTGATATAGATTTCCAGGTTGGCTAATTTTGTTTAATGTTGAAGTTTTACAACTTTATAGTAGCGACAACCCTCTTTTTATTTCAATAGAGTCCAAAAACCATCTTAATACTGAGACCTGTTCCCAAGGAAAAATGTCAAATTATGTACTACCAGATATTATCACCAAAATACTGACTTTCAGCTCTAATTGCAAAACACTTGTATTATTGTCCTTAACAAATACAGTACCTTACTATGAACTCACTACATGTGCAGTATATCTCTTTCCAGATAGCCCTGTGTGTATGTCTTCAGTTGTTGGAGTTGATGTCCGCCTCATCTTTATCCTCACTCATCTCCTTGAAGCTCTCCTTCTTGGCTCCGTCTTTCTCCCTCTGGCTGCTCCTGGAGGAGCTGGCTGAGGCTCGGGGTTGGAAGCTGTAGCTGGCAGCACTGAAAGACATCCCTGAATTAAAGTGAGTCTCCTCCCCCTCCAGCAGTTTCCTTATAGGACCAAAAGAAAGAAATGACAGACTTAATACACCTCACAAAGCTTTAAGACTTTAAATGAGTCCGCTGGTCAGGAAGTCGCCATGTTTTGTTGGGTGTGTCCTTTAATCCAGTCAGCACCTGTAGGCAGCGATCTCTATGTCCAGGGCCATCTTGACGTTGAGCAGGTCCTGGTACTCTCTCAGGTGCTGGGCCATCTCACCCTTCATGTTCCTCAGCTCAGTATCCAGGTGGCCAATAGTGTCCTGTTACATTGGAAATGAGACAGCAGAAATTATCAGTCGTGTCTAAACATAGTTTTCTTAATAAATTCACTTACCTAACATATACATGTATATTGACTGTTCTTAATCTACAACAGTACTGGTTTCTCTGTGGCATAACTTCCTTTTCTCCTTGAAGGAATAAAATAACCTTTTGGAGCTTTCTCTGAGAAGCCAGTGAAAGCAGATGGACTTCCTGTATCCGATTTAGCAGATCAGAGGTTAATCTAATCGACATGCAGGGTTAATTCACTAAGAACTGTTTCAGTAAGTTACAGAGGCTTGTTAAAGTGATTACCACACACTAAATTTCTTGACTTCGGACCTTGAACCTGAATGAGACGATCTGTTACTGACACTGAGCTGTCAAACTTTGAGGAGAGAGCCATAACTTTATTTGAGACAGGTTTTTTATTACAGACAGGAATGGTTTAATTCTAATTTCCCTCTATTTCATAAATATATTTTATCGCATTTTACTGGGAAGCATCAGTGCTTTCTTTTATATATAAATTTACTGTTTCTGCTTTTTGTAGCAAAAGGAATAATTCACATTTTGGGAATGAGTTTATTTACTCTCTTGCTGACAGAACTAATAATAAGTAATACTCGCTCATTAATTACTCTGCCCTGATTGGTGATTTGCATATTAATTAAACTCAGCACCTTTTCTTCCTGTCTAACCTAATTTTAAATTGTTAGACACTTTTTGGAAATACACTTTCTTATCTAGCTACAGCCAGCAGCCAGTTATCTTAGCTTAGCTTAGTATAAAAACAGGAGGTCACTAGTTGTGAAGCCACCACACAGTTAATGAGGCTAATCTCTATGCTAAGATAAACTTATGCTAAGATAAGATAAGCTAAGATAACTGTCTCCTGTCTGAAGCTTCTTATTTAGCATACAGCTGAGTGGTATTGATCTTCTCATTTAATGCTAGCCAATAAGTGCTGAGATTAATTAAGAGGTAAGCCATCAATCTGAAGTGATTAATCAATCTGTAGGTATTTGAATAATTCTGTAAAAAAGAAGAAGAATCAGAACAGTGAGTGGTGTGTAAGTCACAATTACCCATGTTGTGCTACAATGCAGGTACCAAACTTCCTCATTATTAGTGAAGTGCAGACTAAAATACAATAAAACCCAGAGAAACGAAAGTCATGTGCTCTCAGGTCCAAGTCACCTGCTACAGTCTACATGGAGGTCATTTCTGTCGACAACTCTGTACAGTAATAAGATTGGAAGTGAGCAGATCTCACGGTCAAGTTTGCCATGAATTATGTCACAGCTTGAGTAAAGCTGTTAGCTAACCACACACAACAGGAAGTCCCCAATGTCGAGTATGAGCCGGGAATCCAGCAAACTAACAAAATGATTCTGCTCATCTCAATTGTGGGTACTAACAGAAAGGTTCAATATAAAAAACTTGGGGTGGTCCAACGTATGGTCCCCACAAAAGCTGTCGGACCCCTTGCGTATACTGGGGTCCCGGTTTTCTGACCCCATGAATATAGAAAAACGAGGCAACACACACACATACTCTCCACACCTACATTTGGTCATTATGTGGAGCATGTTGTTTTTGTTTCTGGTTTTGGAGCAGTGAGATTAACAACCACAGGTTATTGTCTAATAAACAACTGAACAATGTCTACCTGCGTATCAGTTTGACTGACTGCTCAATAAATAAAATAAAACAGTAGCTTCTGATGTAGTAAACTACTGTTGCCATGTTGGTGTAGCTTAGCTTGCTACATGTCTCTGGAGAAACTGTTAGCTTAGCTCACTTCACTTTCCAAGTAGCTTGACCAACACTTACATTTTCAGGAGAAGAAGAAAAATGAAGAGAATGAAGAGAAGAAAATGAAACTTGTGTGTGTTTCTAAAATCCTGGCTCTTGCCCTGCTAGATACCATGAGAGCTGAGGAGACAGGGGTACAGTAAAGCTCAAAGCAACATGGACGCTAACATACAGTATGTTCTCCTGGTTGATAGTGTGTATCCTCTCACTTAGAGAACACCCACTGTTCTTTATAATGACTGTGATTCTTGCCTGCAGTGCTGTGACTTCAGTGTTGTGTGCATCCTCCATCTCTGTGATCTGCCTCTCCAGAGACTCGTTGGTGCCCCTCAGAGTCTCCATCTCGATGGTCTTGGACTGCAGCTGCCTCCTGAACTCATTGATCTCCTCCCTGCTGGCCCTCATGGCCTCATTGCTCCTGGTTGCCTGCTCGCTGAGGCTGGCAAACTTGCCCTTGTACCACTCCTCGGCCGACTGCAGGTTTTTGGAGGCGATGGACTCATACTGGTTGCGGATCTCCTTCAGAGCTGAGGTGAGGTCCGGTTTGGCAAGCTCAACCTCCACGGAGACCTGCTGTGCTTCCATCAAGCTGCTCAGCTCCTGCATCTCCTCGTCGTGGACCTTCTTCAGGAAGGAGATTTCATCCATCAGCGACTCCAACCGGCGCTCAAGGTCCAGGCGGACAGCTGCGGCGTCGTCCACGTCCTTCCTGAAAGACTTCAAAGTCTGTTCAGCTTCCTCCCTTGCCCTCGACTCCTCCTCATACTTCACACTGAGCTTCTGAAATATGAAATGAGAGGGAAGGTAAGAGATAAGAGGTGAGCGAATGGGCAAGTAAGTTGTGAAATACAATACAATTCGCAGCTCCCTTTTTGATTTGACGAGGAGAAAAGGTAAGATAAAAACTAAATAAAAGTAGGCTTTGTAGCAGTAAATACTAACAGGACACAGCAAATAAAAAAACAATAGAAGAAAACCTCTCCTTACATACTCATCCTTTCCAAAACTACCCGGTGGTTTTACCTGCAGCTCGTCCTCCATGTTGTTCCTCTCGATCAGAATGCGATTCTTGTCCCTGCTCAGCTCGTCCAGCTGTGACCGCAGGTCCCTCATCTCCTGCTGGTAGAGGTGAGTGATGCGGGACGGCTCGCTTTGCTTCTGCCTCAGGGTCACCAGCTCCGACTCCAACACTTTGTTCTGCTGCTCCAGGTTCCGCACTTTGTCGATGAACATGGCGAAGCGGTCGTTCAGACCCTACACAACAGGATTAATGCTTGTTTATCATCACACAAAGTCTTCTACTGGGGACAGATGGCTACTATCATTTACCATCCAAACTTACAAATCCAATTATTTTAACTGCTTATATGTCTCAACACTCTGTGTCTCTATTAATAAATTACAATTTTTTTACATTTTTTTTACCACTCGAGGGCAGCATAACAATCTAGAAACACAGCACTGACATATTACCACTTTAAAACTGTTGATGTGGCTAACATGTTGGCAAACAGGTTGCTATTGATTATTGCAGCTTTAAATTTGGTGTGCAGCTTTAAAACTGGGATGAACTGAAGAAAAGCATCCGTCCACCTAAACGAGAGCCTGATGATTTCTCTGTGTGCCTTGCTGACACTGGGATGGGTATAGACACTTTTTCAGGGCAAAATGGTAAATCAAAACTGCAGAGTTAAATCTGAACAGTTTCCTTAACAAAGAAAAGAGAAAGAGAAAACTTCATCCATTACATCTTTCTCCTCTCTCATCTCTTTGGTGTGAGACATCAAATGCAACTGACGTTACCGTACATGGGTATTAAAAAATACATGTATGTCTTCCTGCATTTGACTTCTCCAAACATAACGTGCCTGGTTCAGATATTAGCTCATCGTCACAGTATTAGAGAGAACATTAGCCCTGAATGAATGAATGTACTAATGTGTTAAGCCTGACATGTGCTCATTCTTTCTGTCTTTAAATATTTTTGAGGCATTTTTCCTTCATTCAAATATGGACATGAGAGAGGTGACAAGATACGAGTGGTGAAAGAGGGAGAATGACATGTAACAAAGTTCCTGGGAGGAGAATGGCACCAGGGACATTGCAGTCACATTATATGGTTGTGCGTCTTACACACAAAGCCACCACAACGCCCACACAGTTTATTCTTAACCTTGAAGACAGGCGCAACTCAAAGTCCTCTTACTTGTTTGTTCTGAAGTAGAGCTAAACTGGCTGGTCTTCTAATTAATTAATTGATCAACAAAAATTTATAGCAAACTACTGAAGCAAAAATGCTAAAAATATATATATAATGGCTCCTGCTTCTTAATTGTGAGGATTTGTTTGGTAGTATATTTGGATTTTGGACGGTTTTGCTTTATTCTGAAGCTTTTGACCGTATTACACGATCTTAAACCCTCCGAATCGTGGACAATTGGAAGATCTACAGCAGAGCAATGCAATCTGCTGTGACATGGTCAAAAGCTCCAGAACAGAGTCAGTGAACTCTGAGCTGACCTCATGTTACTGGTGTGATTTAGTTACAGCTTATGATATTTATAACAGGGTGCTGATCTGTGGGCAATAATACAGAGCATCAGATTTATGGGAATTAAATAATAGTTAATTAGGTGGTGAATCTTGTAAGTAAATAAACTGATTGGTCCTTTCATTATAGTAAATATGTCTGTATGGTTTGTAGTATATTAGCATGTTATGTTGATACAGGTTTCTTCTAATACAGTTCAGAATGAGGTCATTCTGACAAAAGACGATCTTAATTCTAGTTTTCATCTCATATGAACTGATTTACTCTTTTAGGTAAATGCAAGTAACTACCTGATACTCAAGGACTGAGACACCAGAACTGAAGCTAATTGGCCATAAATGTGGAGCTGATATGGGAAGTTTTATGTAAATTGGATGAAATGTCCTGTTTTATTATTCACTATAGACTCAGTATATATCAGGACAAGTCGTGTGCATTAATGCTACTTCATATCATAATGTCTGTAAACACTTTTAAATAAACCTCTAAATGTTTTTCAGTAACCCAACATGCAAGAAGTGCGGCAGTGTTTCAGCCCTGCACACCCACCTGCAGCTGCTCCTTCTCGTTAGTTCTGATGACTTTGAATTCATTATTGACAACGGAGGTCTGGGTCAGGTCCAGGGAGTCGGTCGGCACCGGAGAGAAGGAGGTGGAGGACCGTCCGGTCCGTCTGTACAAGCTGAGGGAGGACGCGCTGTTGCGGGACGCAGCCATGGACCTGAACCCCGAGGAGAACCGAGAGGAGGTGCCGCTAATGCGAGTGGAGGAGTCGGGGAACCTGGGAGAATCCCCGAAAATCTTCCGGTAGGATGACGAGGTGTAGCGGTCTCCGTAGTTCATCTTTGCCGTGAGTCAGAGATAAAACTGAGGGACTTAAAGAGCTTTGCAGCAGCTTATAGACAGCGGGCTGCAGCCAGAGCGAACCATTTTACGCGCGGCCGTACAAGGTTGTATAATATTAGCCCGGTGCCGAGTGAGGATGCTGAATGAGGTTTTGCTGTTTACAAAGAACAAAACAAACACTGATGTAAATTTTCCAAGATTTCGTCGGTGTCTCGGCTTCATTTGGTGTTTACAAACGATGGACCCGTCCACACATGAGCATCAGTCCTCCGGGCTACGTGCGTCATGCAATTCACCTCTCATACCAGCAGACAGAGCCGTGTGGCTGAGGAAAGTCCCAGTCAATATGGATCAATCTCAATCCTCAAACCTCCCAGTGAGAGCGAGGGTGTTTTATTACAGCTTGGATGTGGCTTTGGAGAAAGAAACGAATGTAAGAAAAACATTTGTCTTGTCTTGTCTTTGTTCCTCCTCTGGTTGAATGTTTATCAGAAGAGATTATCTGAGTCATATTCTCAGGTTCCTGCCATAAGGCTGTATAGGCAAGTGGGCCACTGTCTGAGGGTCCCAGATCCTTAAAGAGGCCCAAACTGTAGGCTACATTTGTTTACGTTAATGCTGTAAATAGTATAAAAGACACAACATTCCATGACTGTACAAGGAAAAGGCTACAAACGGTAACTGAAGGACTTAAATATCTGGATGTCAGTACAGAACTCATGTACTGGTCCCTGAACATGGATGCCATCTACCTGAAGGGGCAGAGCCAGCTCTTTTTCCTCAGGAAGCTCAGGTCCTTTGACGTCTGCAGTGAAACGCTGCACATGTTTTATCAGTCAGTGGTAGCCAGTGTACTCTTTTATGCTGCAGTCTGTCTTTAGTCTTTCGTCTTTAGGCAGCATCATGTCCGACATGAACACAAAGAGACTGGACAAGCTGGTCAAAAAGGCTGGGTCTGTGCTTGGCAGGACTCTGGACTCACTCAGGACTGTTGTGGAGAGACACATGCAATGTAAGATGGAGGCATTCTTGGACAATACCAACCATCCTCTCCACAACATTCTGGCAGGACAGAGAAGCAGCTACAGCTGCAGCAAACGTTTCATCTCACTGCGCTGCAGAACAGAGAGGTTCCATCCCATCATCTTAAGATGCCTCCACTTATGTAAAGCTGTAGCAGGAGAAAAAAAAGGTTCCTAAGACTTTGTTCTAATACAGTGTCCACCCCATGTTTGTTCAAAGGTGGCAGTCAACTCCTGCCTGCCAAGAGCTAAGTTGTTTCCCTGTTGGACACACCATGCTGCAGGCTGTTATGAAGAGGAGTGGGCCTCGGTGTCTTTGCTCATGGATGGATTACAAAGTGACAGGCCCCTGGACACAGACATGTACAAGGCCCCTCTACATAGGAGTCATATTGTTGTCGTGTTTTGTCTATTTGTTTTCATTTTATGTCTCTGTGTGGTCATCTTTGTGGTAGTTCACTGTCTCTTTGGAGTTGTTTATTTCAACCTACCAAATCTACCAAAGTGGTAGATGTTTGGTGCACGGACTCTCCAAGTGCTATTTTGGTTCATGTAGGTGCAGCAGTGACAAAGAGCTGGGTGAGGTGGAATATAAATGAGAGGCAGTCACATCACTGATCTCATCACTCTGACACAGCTGGGCCAGTCACAGTGAAGCATGACAACAACAGCTCAACAAATGGAAAGACGCGTCTCCAGGAAATCATGTTGTTGTCTAGATGGTGCGGAAATATTGATGATGCCGTTTATATGAATGCAACAATCTGACAGAAAGTGGCAGCAGATTGACATTGGTCCAGAAACAGATGTGGTTCTGAGACATCCATCCTCAGTTTCAAGACACATCATGATCCACCAGAATGTGAACAGCTCGTTCTGCGCTGTCTCATTTGAATACACCTCCCACCCTTTCGCACGACTCCTCCCAGCTGTGCACCGCTGGCCACCAAAATACCACACAGAAATGAAAGTGAGGTTCAAGGTCAGGAAACAAACTTTGCTTGAAAATCTTTGTGCTGCCATGAAAATAAGCCCAGAATGTTAATTTGGTATCCATACGCAAATGTAATATATGTAAATATATATTTCTATATATGAAATTTCATATATTGACATATATATCTAGCCTATACAAATATATACATTAATGTATGTTTGCTTATATTGTAGGCGGATGTTACATAAATATATATCCATCCCGCAGCCTGTCAGTATATGTTGATATTATATAGCCTCCAGTAGGGTCCAAAAGTCTGAGACCACTTTCCCAGAATATGAAGATACATGTTTAAAATTTATGAGAAATTAATAAGAAAAACATATATAAATATATTGACATTTATGTTGTTTTAATAAACTTGCATATATGAATGAAATATATTGTTGGTGTCACAAGGTGACAGGGGAGGACTTACTGGGTGCACCAAGATGGCTGCCTCCAGCTGCAACCAATCAGCCGCTCATTGACTCGCCCATCAAAGCAAATGTGCTGCAGGTCTGGTGAGGCAGAGACTATGTGGAGATTGGGCCACAAGCTGTGTGGGTGTGTATATAACTGTAGGTATCAGACCACAAGACGGACGGGGAGATTGCAGAAGGAAGGAGGAGACTGCTGAACAGAGGGGTAAACCGAGACGGCCGTGGAGAGGACCCAGGCTGGCAGGAATCTGGAGGAAACCAAGCTAAGTGACTCTCTCTCTCAGCCACGTTTCTCTCTACTTGTTTGAGCAAGCTTATGTTGACGCAGCTAAACCGGCTGACCAGGGGAGTGCTGTGAGACCCAACCTTGGCTAGCATGCTATATTAATATTTTTCTTTATCACTGTGTGGAGTGTGACCTATTTTGACCTTTTTGTGTGCTGATGACTGGATAGCATGCCCATTGTTGGATAGGTGGGCCGGAGCCTGGAGCAGCCACAGAGAGTCAAGAGAGAGCGAGAGAGAGAGATATCCTCCTTCCTGCCTGGATGATTCCCGCCTGTTACATTAACACATGATTTTTACATAGAACACATATGCTCCAGGATATGTGTTCAGTGGAAAAATTCCTCACATAGATAATTTTAATATACATTATTAACATATCTTCATATATCCAGAGGATGAATATATGTGATAATAATATATCCCCTCATAGACGACATATATGGCAACATCACTCTTGATATAGCGACATATATATCATATATTACAATTCCATATGGGCGTGAATGATTGCTTTCAGGATGGAGGATGGCAGAGGTTGAAGGTGGAGGTTTGGGTTGCAGCTTTCTGCCAGAATGACAGTAGAGGCTGCAGCTGCAGCCAGCTTGAGGAGGCTTGAGGCAGGGGCTGGAAGTGGCTGTATGTGGAGGTTCAACATGTGTCTGTTCACCAGAATCAGTGGTAGCAGTTGGAGGCCAGGGCTGCAGGCAGGAGCTGGAGGAGACTGTGGGAGGAAGCTTGGGCTACAGCTCTCTGCCAGAATATACAGGTGGTGGCAGCAGTGCAGATTGCTGGACAATGTTGTAGGTGGATGTTCAGGCCGCCTTGTGTGTCCCCCATGAGATTAATCTGGCCATGACTCGGCTCCTTAGAGTCACGTTATACTGCAGACTCACAGGTAGTACAGAATGACTCAGATTGTGGGCAGTAACTTCAGTTAGGTACTGAATTTCTGAGAGGCTTGTTCACAGATATTCTGTTCTCTTAAATAAACCAATGTGGCTGGCACATGTACTACCGAAAAATACATACAATATAGACACTGGCACTGGTCGTTTCTGTTGGATCAATGCTCTCATTGATTCTTTGTCTACCAGAATATTAATAATTTATCCCTCAGGGGTTTGTGCAACACGAGGAGCAGAGGCTGTTCCTGAGAATCTGTGTAGGAATTTGAGATGCAGTTCCCTCTGACAGCCAGAAGAGGTCGATGCAAATCAAGGTTTATCTAATCTTCCTTGTATATCGCTGTATACCAGTCCAAAGAAAATACTGTGCAGTCCTCTGGGAGCTAGTGGAGCTGAGAGATGGGAGAAGATGCAGGTGCAGGGCTGGAAGAAAACAGGAGAGAGGCAGTTATGGCAGAGTCCTGCTTCCCCAAGTCAGCCTGCTCAGTTTCAGAGGTCAGAGGTCAGCAGACCTTCAGTAAGCTTCCTGTACAGTAGAGTAACTGTGTGTGTGTGTGTGTGTGTATGTATGTATGTATGTATGTATGTGTGTGTGTGTGTGTGTGTGTGACTGGTAAGATGAGGAGCTGAGCAAAAAATCATAATCATATGAGCTTGTGGACTCTACAGTGAGTCTATATTACATGTTTCTATCCACCTAACAAATACAGCAGTATAAGCCCCGAAGTGACAGTGTCCATAGTGCTGAACTTTGAATTAGACAAAGTAGATTATGGTATTTTTTAGATACCAAGCATCTTAGGTAACTGGGTTGTAACTTACTCACTAACTGCCGGCTTGAAGCTTGGTGACGTAGTGACTACTCGCAAAGCCAGCTGGTAAACTGCTGTAGCTGGAGGGCTAATTGTTAACTTGCTAGCCAGCCTTGCTGGGCGTCGCTAGTCAGCACACAATTTCATTCAATAAAAAGTTACTGAAGAGGGAAAACGTTGACTCATTAGCTTAGATTAGCTCGGTCACTAAAGCAACAATAAGTTAGCATAGTTCACTCAAGATATTTGTACCATTGACTCCTGTCTCATAACTGTCTGCAAACTGTTCCTCTGTTGTGACACTGTTCTTACTGAAAAATAAAGGTAAGCACTGTCAAGACGGCTTTCTATTGAGCTATATTTGAAACAGTCACGTGGATTCATTTTGCTACCACAAGTGGATCACAACAATTTCTAATGTTGCCATTAAATCCCGGTTGTGTCTACTATTACCAGCGGTTGGTGTCATCGCCTACAGGAGAAGAAAATAATCACTGCTTCAGATGTAATATTTTGCCCCCTGCAGGACGGTAATTGTACTGCGTCAGTGTTTTCCCTCCTTTAGATGTTGGTTTCTTTGGTGAGAGTTTTAAAATTTTTTTACATTATACCACCTGTTAGCCAAAATAACCATTAAAATAAAATATCACTGTGCCACACTAGCATCCAGTGGATATAAATGTCAAAAAATAATTCATACAATTCTGGCTGTAAAACATAAATACTACTTTCAGACAGCAGCCGTGGGTCTAGGACTCATTCATATGAGACAGTTGTTACCCAGCTCCTCACTGTCAGCAAAGACTCCAGTCTGCAGTTTCAATGTAGTGTCAAACATGAGAGTTACACTCACATATACTGACTTTTCCAGGTCAAAGTTAAGTTTCAGTTTCATCTCTCTGTCTGTCAATCTGCACCCTCCCTCTCACTTGATTGCTCATGTGTGCTCTCTCTCTCTCTCTCTCTCTCTCTTTTTTTTTTTTTTTCTCAGTACATCATTAAATGACATTTAAACATTGGTATCTTTCAATTCATTTCCAGTTCACCAAAGCCTGGGAGCGTCCAACCCTGGTCAAGAAGGGGGTCATGATGGAAGGTCGGCTGATGCGGGCTGACCCATTCAGATGTTACAGATGCCAATGTGTCATTTTGAATGGGGAGTAAATGTCGAATGTTAACTTTTGGAGATTGTTGAAAACATTTTCTAAGAATCTGCATTTTAGTCCTTAAGGTGGTGTGTGAAGTTTAACATTCATTGTGTCTTGAGAAAACACATTCTAAACATCTGTCACATGTAAGGAAGGCATTTCCTTCCTCAAAACAGATTATTTATTTATTTATTCATTTGAAACCTGCATTGTTTACATCCATAGCCTGCAGTGTTCTTCTTCCCTGCCTCTGCAGCCCATTGCTATGTTTCTTTAACATGTCACCACCAACAGTGGACTAGTGTGAAATTTTGGCATGAACCTAGATGGCTCTACCCACATCCTCGTTTCCAAAAATACAAATGGAACATTAAAACATTTCTCCACAGCGCTACTAGTGGTCAAAAACTCTACAGGGTACAGTTAAAGAGGCTATTTGTAAGTTTTCTCTGCCGCTAAATGTGATTTCTTTCCAGGAACAGGCGGTGGTGATTGTCACGTGACAAGAGCTTCGGCCATCGTTGCATCTACAAAACAAGAGGTTATAACACATCCTCTGAGCAGCGCTACATGTTCAGGGCAGATTGGAGGCTTCAGTGAGTCGCTATCAGAAAGTGACGTTATGGGCCGGTTAGCATGCTAACTTCAGGAGAAGAAAAGCGATAGAGACAAGAGTTAACATTGGTGATGCTTTTCAACTCTGGAGACAGCTGTTGGTGAGTAAAGGAATAAAGTTTGATGCTGAACTCACATTTCCTCTTTACTGGTAAATAAACAGTTGTTAATGCTAATGCTGACTATGTAGCAATATTAAAACTTACAAATAGCTCCTTTAACACTAATCACTGAGCTTTTTCATAGTCATCAAACCAGAGAGCCATCACCAGCAACTGCTTCCTTTTGACCATTGAGGTAAGGGCCCTCTTGTTTCTTCCATTAGCCAGAAGGACAGAGGACAGAGGACAAACATTAAAGGGATAGTTCAGGTTTTTTGACGTGGGGTTGTGTGAGGTATTCATGCATAGTCGATACATTACCTACATTAGATCTTGGGCAGCACGCTCCCATTTAGGAGATACGATCGGGAACACCCTGCAGACTAGCAGAGCTATGTGTTGCTGTGCACGGGGCCACCGGAAAAAATGTGTTTTAGACACTGAAACACCCACCGAGACATTCCAATATCTGTGCTCCCAGTCGGATCTCCTGGTCAGATCTCCTAACTGGAAGTGCGCTGCCTAGGATCTAATGCAGGTAATGTAGGCTACAGACTATCACACCTCACACAACCCCATGTCAAAAAACCCAAACTCTCCCTTTAACAGGTGTGTGTGTGTGTGTGTCTGCAGTGTGAACTATGAAGGAAATAAATATGTTTGATTTTATGTCATGTTAGGTGATTTAATGGTGATTGAAATAAAGAAACAATTTACTGTTTCTTTGCCATGTTCATTATGAATCTGATCGCATTTATATTAATAAATATACATTCATATCTGTAACATATGAATATAACATGTGGCCTATAAGCTTACCCTCCCACCTGCCTTTTAATAGTCAGTGGGAATGATTTCCGCTGGAGTCCCTTTAAACCCGCACACACACAGAAACTGTGGAGGGTTGCGTGACTGTTCGCCACTGTGCCTGTTTCCGCACGGGGGCTATTGGCCGCCACCGCGGTGTGGGCGGGACACGACGTTCTGACTCAGCCCTGAGTCACCGCACGACATGTCTGTCACACATAGCCTGCTGCTGCGTTCACGGACCGTGCGAATTTATTAATTTCTTAAACTCGTGTCACATAAATATTCCTACGGGGAGGGAAATAAGTCAAGAGTAACCGACGTCTTACGGCTTGTAAAAATGTATAGGGACTTAGCAGTGGTGAACTATATGCTTATGTTTATATATTATAAGTCTAGGTATAGTTAATTTAACAGGTTTTGTATTGAATTGTTAAAATAAGTTATTAAATGGTAGGCCTACCTAAATTAGGCCTACTAGAGCTAGAACAAGCTGTTACTTTTAATCGTGTTTAACGTCTAAAATCTAAATTGAGCTGAATTTGTATGTAAGTGTTGACCGCGTACCTGCCGCCTACGGGCAGAGAAGTAGGTAGTTCATATTTACCATCTGCCTCATGACACGTGAATACAGCACCAGACAGGCTGATCTTACATGACTTCGCATTGGCCGCGATCTGTGACATTGGAGACGCTGGACTGAGCCTGGACCTGGTCCATCAGTTTTTTTTGGTAAAACAGAAATTTGACATCCCAGCAGCAGCGGAGTGAGCTTTCTACCACAACAACATCCCGAAAGCCATTTCTTTCAAACCTATTTGCTACTTTAGCACCGTGCTGGACGGATCTGCCATAGAGGGTGAGTGTCTTAAACTGCGTCTTGAACTCTTGTACGGTGGACTGGTGTCTGGTGTTCTTGGTAGTGATGGTAAATGTTGTTTCTCTGCACCGCTCTCTGTCTGTATACGTGCGATTTAATGCGTCCGCGTGTTGCCTCCTCATTTAAAGCACCTCAAACATTTTCAAAAAGTAGCTCCTGGTGTAATAAACACAGGATGTGTACGGTCTAATAAATGGACAAGTAGTCTTGCCCATCTACATCAGTCAACGCTTCCACCAGAGGAAAAGCAGAGCGTGGAATTCCCGTTACGCACCATTGCATCGCGCGTGACAACCGCCAAACTACATTGGAAAAAATGTTGTTTTGTGGCTCTTGCTTATTTTTTTTAATGCTAATACACAACAACACAAGACTTGCGATAATATTTTAATTGGAGTTGAAGCTTTTCTTAAAATCGGCATAGACATGACATACGACATATGATACAATGACAAATTAAAATGTGGTATTGTAATGTTGCCCCTTGTATGGAGCCTACATTTGTCTTCTGTTGTAACAGTGGGGCTACTGTAACGAACAGAGTGAGTCAATTCTAAAAGTTAAAATTAGATGAAAATATGTTATGTTCGGCACATTTGTATGACTCTAAAGATGTATATCCATTTTATTTTATGTAAGGAATAACTATTTTCACGGAGTCCAGTTTGAAATGAGACCTGAACCTTCAGGAGCAGGGTGAACTGGCCATGGTGTTCTCTCTTGTCGCTCCGGGAAAAGCAGTGCGCATTTACCGCTGTTGTTGCTGTTGCGGCTGCCACCATTATATAACCAAGTTGTCTTAAAAGCTCACACACCATCACTGACTGACAGACATATCCTGATCTGCTGCTGCGCTGCTCCAGTGCAGCACAGCATTCCCTACTTGGGCCTGATCTGCACGTGTGTGTGTGTGTGTGTGTGGGTGTGTGTGTGTGTGTGTGTGTGGGTGTGTGTGTGTGTGGTGTCAGGTTCAAACTGAAGGGATTGTAAGATAATTATTATTATTACATGGATAATTATTTAATGTATCTTTATTATTCTCTCCACCAAGGAGGTTATGTGGTTTTCACCTGTGTTTGTTTATTTGTCAGCAAGGTTAAGCAAAAGGTAATGAATGAATGTTTGCACCGAACTTCATAGAGAGAAAGGTCATGGGTCAGGGAAGAACACATTAAATTTTGGGGCAGATCCAGATCATTTATGAATTAGATTTTTTTTTCTCTGAAGTCTGGTGTATGTTGTTTGACATTGGCCTTGGTGGAGGTTCTCTGAGTGCCCTTCTTAGTATTGTTATTAGTAGTTATAGGAGTATGCTCACGTGAAGTCTACACACTCATGTTTGCATGTGCATCTGTTGTAATGTTGCGACAGTGTGTCTGAAGGGGTTGTTGTCATATTTTATAATGTATATATGTATATTTTTATGTTTATATTTTTATCACGTCAGCAATCATATAACATTCTTATAGAGGTTCACCCTGTGTTACTGCTGTGTACTCACACAGTGGTTGAAAGTAACTAAGTACTTTTACTCTATTACTGAATTTAAGTAGCTTTAGGTACTTTAACTGAATATTTCCTTTTAATGCTATTATGTGTCTAACTCCACTAAATTTTGGAGGGAAATTTGTGATGTTTATCTCCACTACATGTGTTTGACAGCTACTTTATAATTACTAATTATCTTTCAGAAAAAACCTTTGAATTAAGTTTATTTTTAAAGACCTTATAAGAATTTTTTTTCCACCTTACCAGCTATTTACAAAGTGTAGTTATAAAAGGCTGGACATTCCCCAGACCTCTGACCTAATGCAAAATTTATACACAGAATTTATATTAATGAGTTATTTTGTGATTGATTAACCCATCCATTTTTCAGCTTATCCGGTCTGTTTGTGTTTAATGATTAATTAATTACATTACTAGGAGTCATTGTTATACAGGAGGAACCATGGCTCTGGTTGTGGAGCAGGTTGTCGGCTGATCTCTGCCTTGGCTGTTTGATCTGCGGGGATGCACAAGCCGGTGCAGTTGTAGTGTCAGTCCCAAGCCTGGATAAATAGGAGAGTTGTGTTAAGAAGGGCATTGGTGAATACTGCAGAAACCTTATATCCAATATTCATCCAATAATCGATACTTTGTTTCTTTCCCTACCCAACTGAAAATACCTAAACTATGAATTAGTCAGATTAAGCGCCACATACACCGGTAAGATGCATCAGTATTCATTAATAATGTCACATACAATAATATATCAGTGGCTTACAGGAGACATTTTCTGCATAACAAGTACTTTTACTTTCGATACACTCAGTAACTATAGCTGATAATACGTCTGTACTTTTACTTTAGCATTTTGAATGCATTGCCTTGTAATGGAGTATTTTTACATTGTTATACTGACACTTTTACTCAAGTGTGTCTGAATCCTTCCTCCACCACTGCACTCCTGAAGACTTTATTGGTCACATTCTCTTTTCTGATTGTAGCACTAAGGGACTTTGCTCTTCAGGTATATTTTCACAACACCCATCTAAAATACATGTGTACTCTCTGTATGGGTACTGCATCAGTCAGTCATTCTGTCTGGCCTATGTAGGCCTGGCTTGGCCTGGCCTGAATGAATTGGCTGCCATCAAATAGCCATGGGTGCTGCCGGAACTTTGTCAACTGGATTACACAAGCAAGCAGGCTTCTAATTTAGCAGCTAATCCAGATTAAGGTGCCGTGGTTCGTCTGTGTTCCCAGCCTGGGGCTCAGACGCTGGGCCCGTCTGGCAGACGGAATCAGCAGCCGTCCAGCATCCACTGTCTCTGTCTGAACACTGAGATGATACATTCAGGACCCTAAAATAAGGTCAGGTCCCTACAATACATCTCTTTTTTGCTAGTAGAAATTTCCAAACCCATGCTGTGAGGAGAATAAAACTGGATAGAGGAAACTATCACCTGCCTGTCCTCCTCCAGAGAACGTTGTTCATAATGCTGCCTTGATGATTTTTTATGATTTACTGATAGAAATGTGTGATTTGTGGTTTGCCTTTGCTCTCACTTATGATGATACAAAGTCAAGGATCAAATCTGGACTCACTTTGGCCTGTAACTGGTGAACTGTTACACAGCCACACTGAACTGATTCCCACAGAAAAGCCACAAGACAGAGCAGGTGGTGCTCCAAGGGAAGGACACGTGAGTTTGTTCTCACCTGAAACTGAATTTCAGACACTTCAGATCTCAAATAAACCAATCCACAAATGACTGCAGGTCCAAATCTGAATGAAACACCTTAATAAGCATATATATATATATACATATATACATATATATATACACACTGTATTCTTGATACAGATACAATTTTATGTTGTCCCCTGTGATGAAAATTTATGTATGATATAGAGAATATAAAAGTTTACCTACTTCACAATAGCACTTTGTGTAAGGCAAGGGACAGGTGCTGTATTTCTCTCAGAGTTTGAAACCACTAACTGGTGGTTGGGGGTTCGTTTTTTCTGACCTTCTCCTTTTAATGCATTTGGCATTCAATATGGAGAATGTGACAGAGAGACTGAAAGAGAGAGAGAGAGTGAGAGGGAGCGCTCTGTGAACTATAAATAGACAGTGGGAGAGTGGTTGTGATGATAGCATCACCACACAATAATCCCTCAGCAGGACTGGCGTTACTCCACTGCACTACACCAGCCCTAACAGTGAACAGGTATCCCCTCTACTTTCCCCTATAATCAGGGTTATCTGGCGAACCTGAGCCTCTGACCCTGCTCAGTTTCTCTGTGTGTAGATGTTGCATTAAGCTTGTTAATGTGGACCTGTGGGCAGAGAGGCATGTTTCACTCTGGCCAAAATAGTCTAAGTTCAGAATAATCCTTTTAATTTTGCAGTGTGCAGGGGCTAACTGCTCAGTCAGACTGCAGGCGGAGGTGCCGATTATGCTCCTGCAATACTGTAGGCTTTGACTGCCATTTGTTGAATGTCATGCTGGACCCTCACTGTGGCTCCCATCAGCTATCAGTCACCAACCAAATATCGGCTGTCATCAGCTTCAGCCCCAGGTATTGCAACCGGGAAATTAGTTAGCATTTTACTACTTCTGAGACTACAGAGGTTGTTGGGGACGATAAACATCATCATGTTGAACATGAAAACACGATCTTCTCACCAGTCCACCTTTACAGCCTTGTTGTGATTATATTTTTAAACTATTACTAACTCTGTAAGAAGAAAGGCTTTTGTAGAAAAGGTCAGAGCTGAATCAAACTACAAGTTAAGGTTCAGTGGTGGTGACATTGAAGTCATGTGACCGTGGTGTAGTTGGTTTATAGCCTAACATTAGGTTTTTGCCTCTGGTGATTGTATTTAGGCTTCAAACATCATAAAGTGGTGTTCATTAGTGAAGATTATCATGCTGAACTAAATGTGTCAGTTTTATAACTTTTGTTGGTCACAGAGTTTATTATCTGCAATAATCCAGAAACCAGTGTTAAAATCTCACTGGATTTTTGTTGAGGGAACCAGGGTGATGCTAATATCTGCGTTGGACTACAAAAATACATCATTGTTTAGCGCTGTGGAAAATGTTGAGCTCGCTCTCTGTGGACTTTTAAACATCGCGTGTGAAATATAATGAAGCGAGTACTCGACCAGTCAGAAATGTTCAGCACTGCAGACCACACCCCCCAAAGTTCCTGAACCTTTGGAAAGTACTACCAGAGACAGTAGAAAAATCGAGATGCTTCATTTCCGATTATTTCCTGTATCTGTGTCACGTGGGTTTCTCCACCTCCCCGCCACTTTAGGAGACCGGAAGCAGGTCTGAGTGTATTCATTCCAATGGGCGGAGTAAACGAGATCACAGATCATGACAGATTCTTTCGTTCCATAGTCACAGAAATACGTTTCATGCCAGTTGCCTTGGCTTGAGGGAGGGGTTGAGGGACAATGCCCACTTAAGAGACTGGAACT